ATTATATATCTGATAATACTTAGGAAATAATTTAGATTGAGACTTATACATGAACGTGCAAATTTAAAAAATTATTCTATATTTTATAGGTAGCCAGTGCAAGAGAACAAGATATGGAAATATATGAGAAAAGAAAGGGGCACGAGCAACTATATGAGCAGCAGAGTTAAATGCTTTACTTAAAGGATAGAGTATAGAGTCAGGTAGACCATAGTAGAGCGAGTTACAATAATCAATCCTAGATAAGACTAACGAAGTAACAAGGAGAAGAGTAGGATCATCAAGAAAAGGCAAAAGTTTTTTTTTAATCGTTATTAATTTAAAAAAATGCATTCTGTGTTCATTGTGTATGTTTTTCTACAAATACAGCAGAAAAATAATAATTATTATTTAATATTTACACCACACAAAATTTAATTTATTAATAAATAATAGAAATTAATAGGATTATCAAATACACACAACTACAGTATTATATATTTTTATAGCATCGATATATAACTATATAATTATATATACATGTATATATGCATACCTGTTAGCTGCCACTTAACAGCATATAACATATAACATAATATAGCATATAAGCTTATAATAACATGCATACATGTCAGCTGCTATTTAAACAGCATATATCATATAACATAATATAACATATATCGCATATGCATACAGGCTTGCTGTACCCTCTCTCTTTTACGTTTATCTCTTTTTTAACGTGTGTATAATTGGCTTTTTAACGTTTGTATAGTTGGCATCAAAGATTGCTTATAAAATTATATAGGTCGGTCATTGTGGCTAAGTTCAGTCACATACTTATTGATGAGATATCGCCAATAAAATACCTCAAACGAAAAGTAAACTATAAAACTAAAAGTTAACATTTTAAAAAAAAGGACGAAAAATGTAATGACCGCTGAAAATTTTGTCATGAAACTTTCGTTAATTTGCTTTTTTTTTTATTTTACTGCAATTAGATTTATAATATTTATTTCAGGGACTTATGCATTACATTACCGTATATTACACAAGCTCGGTATATGTAAATAAACATAAGTTTTTTGTTGTAAGTTGATTATTTGTAAATAAGTAATATATTTTTTTTGTATGTTAACTAAATTAAATTCATTCAAACAGATACTCCTGCACTACCTGGAAGGCTGTAATTAACAAATCTTCCTCTTTTCAAGATAACTACTCCAAATAACTTCCACATAAATACATCTAACACATTTTCCTATAAGACAAAGCAACCATTGATTTTTAGATTGGGATTACCTTAGCAAATTCTTTTATTATACGCCCTGCTGGAGGCAAGAGCAACGCTGTCGTTGCACATTCATCAGAATCTGTTTTGGGAACTTGCACTTTTTCGTTTCATGATGTAGAATATTACACTTTTAATTTCAACAATTTAAAACATGTTCATGTTCACATGCGTTGTGTGTTATGCTTCGTTCAGCACGCATTCATACACCCCGTGTGTTGTTGATTCCTTTGCACTTTGGGAGAGTGCAATAGATCTTTAACCTTTTGAAAAGCAGAATGTTTCTGGGAATGGTTAGAAAGGTAGGGTTGAATTTATTCATGTACATTTTTTCACCAGTCCTAACTTTACAGCCTATCCAGGGTTTGGTTTACATGATTTTTTTTTTAAATTCCAAAACAAAACATTTGCTGTTGATAAGACATAGGAACATGACGAATGACGACACGCACGTATTTGTTAAATATTTGATTAAACGTCACGCCAGAGACGAGACTTGAATATGTCGATTTTTATTGTAAGTAGGCTATATGGTCGAATTATAACGATTTTAAATAAAACCAATTTGTTAACTTACGGTAGGTTTTTCTTAGAAATTTCTCGAAACATATTGTAAAGATGCTTACTTGGATGTTTATTTATTATTAGTCGAAGATGAAGGTTACTAATATATATGGAGGAAAGCTACATGTTACTGAGTTGTTGTTTATGTACGTTAATTTCAATTTAATATGATGTTAGTGGAGAACCAGAAAGATATTAAAGATGTTCAAAATATAAAAATGTTCATTTATTTGAGCAGTCAGCTGTCAGACGATCTTTAAATTGTAACACCATCTAATACATAATCGGATATTTATCAACTGACAGTGCTTAAAAGAATTTGTCATTCTTGTGAAAATTTGACATTACTGATAATATATAAAATGATAAATTTACAGCTCAACACTTAAAATAATAAAAAAAACTCAATTACCGTTTTTCAAATTTAATTAAACTGACATACACTACAAGTTTATTAGCATCAAAAAATAATAAAAGCTCTAAATGTATTTGATGTTCAATTGAAAAACCTTTTACGCTAACGCTAAGTGAAACATCAAAATATTGTTGAAGAGTTTGTAGAAGTTGGTTCTGTTCATCCCTTCATTGTGATGGGTGGCAGTCTCTTGTCTCTACTGGAATGGAAACGCATCCTGAGCTCTGGTCTGAGTACACGCACCGCTCTCGGCTGACCTCTCTTCCCAATTTCAATGCTTTCCAGGTAGTCTTCGGTCAATTCGGCGTTGTAAAACTGGTCATCATCATCTGCTGAACATTTGCTGTCAAGGATGTAGAGGAGGCAGAGAGCAGCAAGGAAAATACAACTTATCTTTGACATGTTTAGTGGTGAAAGAGTCAAAAATTCAAATTTATATTTATTGTTTCAATTTGAAGCGTAACAATATGCTAAATCAATTAATTACACAATTCATTAAATTAGTATCAGTTGTTATCGTGGTATCAGTATGAAAATGCGTGCGATTTCCTAATCTCTGGTCAGACGACTTATATAGGCGAGTTCTATTTGCTCTCGGAACGCAATACTAATTGGTTCGTTCGTCTCGCGAGATGCTGTCTAATTAAAAATTGTTTCTCGTGCAAATACCATCCTAAGCAATAATTACACCACTTTTTTTCAGCCGATACAACGGAATGAAGCAAACTCGTGTTTTAGAAATGTTATATAGCAGTTGAGAGTATAAATTATTTTGAAATTATGTAAAGTTATATAAATTAAAATAAAGTATGTTGGTGTAAATTAAATACAAATTCGCTAAAACGGTGAGTAAACGAAGTTAAAACTCAACGGTATAACTGAAGGTTGTGGTTGTATGTACTTGTGCATTAATCGAAGACTGAATAATTTATTGGAAGCTGAATGCGAAAGTTGTGGATAATGTTAAAACTATTTGCTCTAAATGTTGCTGACAGCAGCAGAAATGAATCAACCATTTCTGTTTCAATCTAATTCAAAATTGCAAATTCATCGACGCAGTTTTTTTTAAATAGTTCAAAAATGAAATAAATAATTCAAAATAATAAAAACAATTAAAAATTGAAACAGAAAACTTTACAGAATGAGACAAAGTTTTGATGGCTTATTTTTGAAATTTTTATTAAAATTAACACCGGCAACGACATCATGGCCGGTGTTACTGTTTCTAATATCAGAGTGACTGTTTGCGTTTTCTTCGTCGCATTTGTTGATGGATTTGTTGCAATCAGCACAAGAAGCTCGCTCATATTTGTCCTTCTGTATCTGGTGCAGGACTATCTGATAGGTTCCCGCAACGCTACTTCGACACTGCTTATTCAGAGCGTAAGTTATGTGTTCCTCCGAGATTCCCAGCTCGTACAAGCGGCGTCTTGTTTCTAAATGTTCCTCACTTGGATGCTCTTCAAGTCTGTTTCATGTTTTTTTTTAATTTTTGAAGTATAAAGAATCGTGTAACAATCATAATTAACATATGCATAGATTGATTGACCATGGTAACCATACTTTGGAATGGTTTCCAAGTTAGAAGGCGAAGACAGAGCTTTAGGGTAGTGACATCCGTTCATCCACTCCGTTCTCGTGATCTCATCCAGAGTCAATCTATCCGTTGGTTCCAGTCGCAAGATTGAGCGGATGAGGAACTGACAGGCTCCACTGACGTGCTCTGGGATCTCCATGTCGCAGTCATTTATGCATTTTTTGAGTCTTAAATTAGTTTATTGTTGTTTTGTAGTATTTCTAATTTAAAATTCTTCTAATAAGTTTTCAAAAAAAAATATTGATAAAAAAATGTCAAACAAGCGCTCCTACAAGCAACAAAGCTGCCAAACAACTACTAACATTCCAATCGTGTCCGCTCTGAATGGGAGATGGCCAACGACCACGAAATAGAGCAAAACTCCGAGTGCCCAGATGTCGACATACATGCCGTAGTAACTTGATTCGTTGAAGAGTTCTGGAGCGGCGTACGGTGGTGAGCCACAGAAGGTGCTCAGAAGTTGTTTCGGCTCGCAGTAGTTGCTGAAGCCAAAATCGCCAACTTTAACCGTTACTCGATTTGCGAAGAAAACGTTCTCAGCTTTCAAGTCTCGATGAATGATAGATTTGTTGTGCTATCAGCAAATACGTTATTAGATTAAAATTTACATTAAATATAAACAAGTCAAATAAAAATGAGTTTATAAAACTTTAGAATGTTTATAATATTTTAAATAAAATATATGAAGTGATTTTGTTAGGAAAGTAAGAAAGAACGTTATCCGCTATTGTTTACATTTAAGAACCTGAATTTCCTACGTGAGGTGATCCCATGTACCTCTCGTTGAAATTTATAAGGCACTTGTTATCAAATGTATGCAGGTACGATGTAAAAATATTTTGTTTTTCACAGATCAAAGTTTAAAAAATTAAAAAATGAGAATATCGTACTTGTGGATTTAACTATTAAATTTAAAAACTTCAGCAATTGGCTCACAAGTAAGTAAATATTGATATATCTATACTGCCAAAGAAGATGAACATGATTCTTTGCGCTAGATGTAAATGTATCAAAGAATTTAACAGACTACATGATGTTGCTTTTTGAGCAATAAGTGTTTAACTTAATATTGGAAAGACATTCTGCCTAGGTAGGCGGCTTTTTTTACTGATCATAGAATCGATAGAAAGCAACTTTTTTGTAAAAATTTAAAATAAATTTTTATTTTTTTTTTTTAAATCAAAATATTTGTGTTTCAACTAAAGAAGTCATGAAATATTGAATTTTAAACACAAACGTATATTTGAAAAACGAACCATGTGTTGAACGGCCGATATAATCTGAGCAAAAATCATCTTGGCTTCATCTTCAGGCAGCTTTCCGTCACTGCTGACTCTCGTGTATAGTTCTCCTTCACTGGCGTACTCCATTATGATGAATATTTTAGAAAGCGTTTCAATCATTTCGTAGAACCTGATGATGTTCGGATGGTGCAAACTCTCCATGGTCGATATTTCCCGCGATAGCAGACGTCGAACTTTGTGCTCCATTCGAATTTTGTCGAGGATTTTGACGGCAACTTTATCTGTTAGTTTTTTAATGAGGGCCATTGATGTTTTATAAATAAGGTGATTGAGACGAACATAGGTTCATTTGTACAACAACGTTAGCAACTATAATAACAAACAATTCAACTATTATATCGATTAATGTTTAAAAACACTTACTGTGTGTCAGGAGGTGAGTACCGAGTCGAACCTGCGAGAAATTACCTGAACCGATTTGTTCTTTTAACCGGTAGAAACCTATTCTGCGACCGAGCACAATATCTTTCATGCATTGTTGGTTGTGAAGAGATTCGTACGATAGTCGTTCGTACAAGTTTGTGCAACTCTTATCAACTCTCTCCAGCTGGGGATGATCGGAATAGTGATGTGACGTTTTCGTCGGTAAATTATCGTAATACGAATTACTTGAGGCCTCGTTCGAAATCGGTTCAGAAGTCGCCATATTTTCTCGGTTGGATTTGTTTAATAATAATGCTTTCAAATTACCAGGAACCGGTTCTGATAAAAATTTTGTCAATTTTCTAGCAACTTCTTTTGGAGAAAATATCTGATTTATCTCGTCGTTTTCATTAGCGGACGAAGAATTAATTGCTGTAAAATGCCTGCATCTTACAGCGCTCTTGTTAGCAGTTTCAGTTTTACTGGTCTCTTCGATTTCAGCTGAATTAATTTTGTCAGATGGTTTTGATGATGTCGACGAGTTGTATATATTGCCACGTTCGTTCATCGCTGCATAGAAGGAAGTCTTTTTTTCTGGACGGAAAACATAGGAGCTGAAAATTTTAATAAGAATTATCCAGAAAAACAAACGGGTAGCAATTAAAAAATGATTCCATCTTCTTTTCTTTTTTCAGTTTTTTTAATACTTGTGCTTCATATTTTTTGTCTCATCCATTCTTTGTTTCTTTCAATCATTCATGTGATTTTTACATTTGTTGGACTTTAATTGAAGCTGTTTTCTTATTGAATGTCGTGACTGAAGGAAAAATTAATTGCTACAAAGCTGCTGATGACGATGATGACGGTGATGGTGACGATGATAGTGATAGAGATGAGGAAGATGAGGATGATGATGATGGGGATGTTGATGATGATGGTGATGATGATGACGCTGATAAAGGTTACACGGTGCTGACGAGCAAAATTGCATTCAAGTAAATGTAAATGATTGAAAAAAAGTGATACCAACAAATATATTAATTTAAAAAATTAATTTAAAAAAATATTTAAAAAATGAAATAAACACCAAGCCATTGAAGTGTCATCAAACAAATGCCACACCTATCTGCATATTATAGTCATTCACTTCACACACATACACACACGCACATCATAACAAAATCAATATGAATATCTTAGTGAACATATATTATTTGTATTTGTTTGTGTGTGTTTGTTTGTTTGTGTGTGTGTATGTGTTGTGTGTGTGTGAAGAGAGGTTGTGGTGTGTATGTGTGTGTGTGTGTGTGTGTGTGTGTGTGTGTGTGTGTGTGTGTGTGTGTGTGAAGAGAGGTAAATGAAAAAGGTTTTTCTTATAAAAACAAGTGTCAAACGATTATACATACATATTTACATAAAAACTGTATGCATGCAGTTTGTGCGTGCATACAAGCATACAAATACGTGTGTATACATACATATATACATACGCGTATGTATACATACATGCAAATATGTATACATGTTTATAATATGATCAAAGCACATATATGAGGACTACTTCTTAATGGACGGAACACACCTGCAGAATAATATGAGGAAGCGAAAGAGAAAAAAAAATTTTTTCATCCGTCTATCCATCGATCAATGAAAAATTCACTTGTAAATTTTTTACCTAAAACCTTTCTTAACGATGATGACGACCACAAAAATGCTAAAACCAGTTCCACAATTTTGTTGTAGAAATGAAAATTTCATCCATTTCATTAAAATTTAAGAACACTGAAGAATTTAAAAGACATTTATTTCACTCATTTATGTTATTGTGTTATTTTTTGTGTTATTTACTATGTTATTTCTCGTTTTATTGGAGTCAACCCTAAATAAGCATTTATTGCTAAGCTGACTCTTTCACTTTATTTTTTGTGAATAAATGGAATTAAAAAAAACAATAACGATATTAAGGCAATGTTGAATTGTGTGTCATTTTATGTAATTACAGTTAAACATTTTCATGAGAAAAATATCAGTAATATTATTTAGAGTTGCAGTAGTTGCAATAATAATAGTACTGATAATAGTAATAATAAAACAGCAGTTGCAAGAGTATTAACATTAACGGAAGTAGTATTAGTAGTACTACTTGTAGTAGTAGTAGTAGTAGAAGCAGTAGCAGCAGTAGCGGGAACCTTTACATTTCTACTATAAAAACTTAAGAACTATGATGAAAATATAGATATGTCCAGGTCCACGTTTTAATCTATGTGAAGAGTAACAATTGCATATGTTTTTGATAAGAAAATGGTAAAAAATGTAGATTGACCAAAGCATTTTTTAGCGAACTAGTTACTGCACATAATAATATATGTTTATATTGCAATTACATAGTGCAGCAGTTACAATGATGTAGTAAGATTATATAATCTTCAGAAAGCATCATTAATGCAAACTCCATCCATCTAGGTTCTCGCTAATTATCTATTGATATCTTTCAGATGCAGTTTACTTGCGCCGCAATGAAATGAAATAACTCATACAAACAAATATGTGATTGGGTTCGAGTTTGAGAGAATAATAAATAAAGTTTAATAACCAAATATATAAACAGTTAATCAAGTAATTTAATAAACGAACCAGCAAGTAAATGACGAACAGATCAAAAAAAGGAACGAACCAGAGAACGAAAGAACAAATTAACAAAACAGGATTAACTGATTAAGTCAAGCCACACATACAAACGCACATACAAACGCAAATGAAAACGCACATACAAACGTACATGCAAAGATGCATGAGAGCACATGCAAGCACACGGAGAGACATACTTCATAATCTGAGGCATCCCTATCGTGTTGCCATGCCAACCATTCCATCATGATCAATAACAATCTCGTAAACTCTGCCAGAATTATGTGCTGCATGAAAATGCTTAATTGCGTATAAACAATTAAATTATATATACCTATATACATGTATACTCATATATATATATATATATATATATATATATATATAATGTATATACGTATATATATAATGTATATACATTTGGGTTAAGACTGACGTAGATAAAATTGTTAAGAAATATCACTGCATTTTCAGCTTTGGTCAGTTAATGGTTCAAGTTCATACCATTTTTACATCATCATTTTTTAACTTTTTTATATAAAAAACAAAATTTTCACCAATGTTTTTATTCATTTGATCTTATACAGAAGAAGTTTTTTTTGGATAATCCTTTACCATTTTCGATGGAGTATGTTAGGAACTATTGGTTGTATCTTATATGTGCTTATATCTCTGCGTTATTACTTATGTATATATATATATATATATATATATATATATATATATATATATAAGCATCTGCGTGTGTTTGTGTGTTTGTGTGTGTGGTGTGCATGAATGCGTTTTCCAGTTAGTGAGAATATGAAATATGAAAAACGAAATATAAAAACTCTTTCTCATAGTAAAAGATAATAAAATTTGTAAAAATAAATTTATTTCTTTGACAAAACAATGCACAGTAAGCCTTCGATCAAGCGTTACTGCAAATTTGAATAAATTTATATGTTATGATTTAACTATTTTAAGTGTTGAAAATGGAAGTATTTTATAATTAAACGAACTCTGTCAGTTTAATTCAAAGTCGTTGAAGAGGATGTCCTGTTTTAAGAATTGATTTATTTTTCAGTTTTCTTAGTTTGATTTAATTTGATAAAATAAAATTTGCAAAAAGTCAGCAATAGACAGAGAGGAAGATTATCTGATAGTGAAGAAAATCTTCGCAGTTGTCTAGCCGGACGGAGGTAGTGCCTTGGACCTGTTTGTTGGTCACTCGAAATGCAATGTTGAATGAAAAATTTGGCTCTGAGTTAAGATAATCGGTGTTGCGTCAGCAAAATATATTTTCTATTGTTTGCAATTTTAACAAAAATCACTGCTGATGATTTTTAAGCTAAAATAATATTTCATTCAGATGACAAATATTACAAAATGTGGCTTAGTGAAATGTGATTGAAAAAATAAAATTAATGCTTAATGAGATGAATAAATGTTTTCTTTCGTAACGACAAATTTTTAAAAAGTTTGAGAAGTTTTTTCATGTTTTGAATTCAATTTTAAACACCAATGATTCATTCATTTACATTTTCGAAACTTTTTTTTTGAACAAAATTATAAAAATTATTTAAACAGAAGCACACGACCAATCAAATCATTTTCTTTTTATTTCATGATCAATCAACTTCACCCAAATTAAAATAAATAGAAAAGGTTTTTACTCATTTTTTACTCATTTTTTACTCAAAGTTAAATTATCAAAAATTGAACTATAGCTTATAGATTTTATTGTGTACTGATTTCACTTACCAAGTTAACAATTTTGCACGTTCGTATAGAAATCTTAAATCCCTAGATTAGGATATATATGGTGCCAGTTTAATCTTCGCTAAAAAGAGATGCCCATGCTCACCTCTCATACTCTAATTTCACAAAAACTTCAGACAAGTTAACAAACATTCGAGATAATGACCAATTTAAAAAATACTATGGATTTATATGGATTTTATGGTTAGGTTTAACTGAAAGCTCGTGTGTTGATGTGTTTTTGATGTGTTGTTTTATTTTTAAACAAATTTAGAAAGGATTTGACAGAAAGGACAAAGATTAAATCTCTTTTTAAAACCCCTTACAAACGCCTTCAATATAAAATAAACATCATTTACAATCAACAGATCAAACGAACAAAAAAATGAATTCATCAAAAAAGAAATAAAAACAAAACAGAGAAGTAAAAATTGAAAAGATGAAAAATAGTATATTACAAAATTACTTATGATAGAGCATTAGAATTATAATTTATAAAACATTCAGTTAGAGATTTATTAACTAAAACCAAAGAGGCGAAAACACGAAAGCAACGGGATTACGAGGTCAGAAAATTAAAAACCTACAATGTTAAATACCGGAATTCTGAACAAACAACAGAAACAAACTTTAAAATATTGTTCGTTCTATAGAGGGCGAAAGAAATCAATAATTGGCGGAAAATTAAAATAATTAGCGCAATAAATTTTGGTTGGACATGAACTTTTGGCAAACCTACGCTGATTTGGATGTTGGACCTCTCAAAATGTTCATTTTGTCGTTTCCAGCTTTCTTTCGGCAAACAGGCAACAAACAGTTTGGGATTTGAACACAGGTAAGTAAGATTTACGAGTTTTGAGTGGCCGCCAACATACGCAACACATAAAGAAACCGCTGCTGTAATCGAAGAGAAGGGGTGCACAGTAGGGCCCCAAGCAGAGAAGATTTTTCTAAACCGCAACCACTCGCATCCGCATGATTAAATGAATGATTGAATGATTGGTTGAATGAATGAATGAGTGAATGAATGAATTAATCAATCAATGATTCAATGAATTAATAGAATGAATTAACAAATCAATTAATGTATGAATAATTTGAAAGATTGTGATAAAATGAACGAACGAATGAATGAAAAAAATCAAAATCAAAACTAAACCTTACTTTGAAAATCGTCGTTACTGAAATCCATTGCACCGACCCCCAAATGTCATCCGAACTGCAGAGTGTCATTCGAACAGCCAACGAATTGATTCTCCCTACACCACAATCATCATGCATAAATCATAATGAGACAACCACCTGAAACGTGCTGACTCTCAACACAGCCCACCTCTCATCGTTCTGTAGACAAATATTTTTTTTTATTGGCGTAGTATTAAATTAATGTTAGATCTTAGAAACAAAAAATTATAAAATGAAAATAATGGCAAATAAATAATATTTTAAAACAATAAGGAGAGTAAAATGTAAAAAAACTTACCGTCGTCCATTCGACAAAGGCAGAATGATGAATGCCTTCCGGTTCCTACGTTGTCCTCCAAAACTGGTGCCAGTCATCTTCGAGATTGTTAGTTGTTGAAACACAGTCCGTGTTGAGATAGAAAAAGAAAAAATTCTCATCAGAAAGTTTGGCGGTGCCTGTATCTCAAATTGCTTACTTTATAAAAATAATCCTATCTACCTATTCAATTACCTTAACTAATCTATATTAAATTGTTAATGGTACGATAGTTGAAAGTTGAATGTCCTCCTTCATTCTTCCTCCTTTGCACAGAAGTTCACCGACAGCCAGGGCACCGGATAGTAAACCATTGCCGTGCCGATAGTAGACTATTGCCGTGTCGCATGGTAAATCATTACAGTGCAGATAGTAAACCATTGCTGTCCGGCACGGCACACCACTGGTCACGTACTTTGAAATTCAGAGTCAATCGGCTATCGTACTCTCAACTTACCTATTCATTACAATTAAGCTTACCTAAAATTACAAAATTCAAGAGCCCAATTCATTTGCCATTGTTTCATTGTCTGCCAAACACGCCTACATAATGCCTTGGGCAAACCGCAGAGACAAAATCAGCAAAACGCAAAATCCGCGGAGTTTTGAGAATTTTTTTGAAACCGCATTGCGGATATTCGCTTGAGGCTCTAGTGCACAGCTGTGCTAGTAGATAACAGATATAGCTACGATTTACAATTCTTCCAGCATTCTTTCAATAAAAATTTAGGTTCATAATTTTTAAAAATATGGCGTTTATTATGTTTCCCCAGAATGTAAAAAAATATTCTGTAGAGTGGATGAGAGAGCGGTGTCAAGATAAATAAACCAATGAATAAAATGAATTAATTAATTATGGAATGTTGCGAGAAGTTTTATATTTTATAAAAAATTAATGAATTTAAGATTAAAAAGTCGAACGCTCGTGTTAAAATAAGACGAATAATGAATGAATGTTTGAACGGATGGATAAATGAATGAATAAATAACAAGAGGACGGCCGAACGAACAAATGGACGAACTTCTAAGTGAATTGAAGAATTGAATTAATTTGCACCAGTCTCAAATTAGTTTCCTAATAAATCTTAATTAAAACTTTTCCGTTACACCATAACCCTAACATGCAACCAACAAATTCAACATACAATCATTTACATAATTGATTTTTTTTATATTATGTTAAAATTTTATTAGCGAATGTTGCTAACAATCTAACTATGTAAATAAACAAATAATTAATAAGATAATTAATTGAACTAGGAAGCGAGCTCAACTAATTAAGCAAGATAATAATTAATAATAACAAGAGTTAACAATTATTCGTACGAACAGCTGCTATAATGATAAATAATATTAACCAACTCAACCATTAAATCTACAGGCTGTGGCAGACATATAATGATGCCAGATACTATGATTCTTTTGCAATTATTTATTATTGGTAAGTGCAGAATTGATTTATATCAGGACAGAAACACGCATACTCACTAAATGTTTATACAATTAGTTTATATACATATATATATATATATATATATATATATATATATATATCTATAAATCTTTGATTTTTGTAAAAGGTTATGTGCCAGATGTTTTATTCTGGTTTAGGAAAAGTGTTAGTATCCGTGTTAATCGACTGGAATTAAATTGGGAATAAAATCTGTTGTTAGTTGGTTTCGTTGATTCTGTTTATTTTTTAATTCATTTTTTGCGACTGTATGCTGACATTTGTATTTAGAAGTATTCACAATATGCCACCCGCACTTGCAGATTCATTTTCGTATTTGCTGATTTCGTATGAAACTTAAACCCACCAAACATTAATTCTCAATATCTTCATCTCTAAAATATTACGAATTTACATCTTACAACAGCATAATCATCGTCATCGTCATTATCACAAACATTCTTTATTTTTTTTCATCTTCATCATCCTTTTCATTACTCAAAAAACATCAATCAAATCTCCAGGAAAACTTTTAGAAAAAATGTCTCACAAATGGAAGAATGGAATTTTTGGCTGCTTCAACGACTGCAGCATCTGCATCCTTAGCTTCCTCATCCCATGTTACATCGCTGGAAAGAATGCGAAGGGAGTTGGAAGAAGTTGTTTGATCTTCGGTTGCTTGTCCATACTTGAGCCAATCGGATGCCTTGCCAGGAGTGTGATCAGGCAGGACATCAGGACAAAGCACAACATTGAGGTTGGACTTTCTTCAGTTTCTTTCATTTGGTTGTTAGTTATTTGTTTGTATGTTTGTTTTTTTTGTTTTGTTATTGCAAGCGAGAGAATGAAAGTAGTTTGTAAGGCATGTATTTGTTGATTTGAAAACAAATTATTAAATTCTTAAATGGTACGATCATAATATGATATGATTCAACCGTCATTAAATATTTCAATTATCCTTTCATAAAATGATTCATTCATCAGATAATACGTTTGACTGAGTACGTGGTTTTCAAACAACTAACACATGTGTGATTCTACAATCGTTAAACTTATATCGCTCAAATATCAAAACACATAATTTGCTTGATGAAGTCTTGTAAAAACGTTTATCTACAAATTAACAAAAGTCTTCTTCATTAAGTAACCAACAAATTAAACCGCAAATCAAAACCAAATTTTTACCCTTTAAAAAAGAATCAAACAAACATTACCAAAAAAAACACACATGCAAGCAACCTACCACAAAATAATATTTAACCAACCAACCAACCAACCAACCAACCAACCTACCAACCTACCAACCAACCAACCAGGGTAACTTATGCTGCGACATGCTGTGCCACACATTCTGCAGCTGCTGTGCTCTCGCCCAAGAAGCTCAAGTTAGTTTCCAACTTGCCGTTCCAGTATCTATTTTGTATCGATGGGCTAGTTTCATTATTCAATTAGTCTACCTCCTGATTTTACAAACTTTTCTCTATCGTCTTTAATTGATCTATTCAACAACGTATCATTCTTCTATATCATTCCATCTATTCATTATAATTATTTCATTCAACTTTCATTAATTTTTTTCTCCATCTGTTCATCAACCCAAGCAACAAGTCATATCGTTAATTTTTTTCAACCTCCTTTCTATTTCGCGCTTTTTCTATTCATAATCTGCCATAATCCTTCATAATCATATTCATAATCTGTCATAATCATATTCATAATCTGTCATAATCATATTCATAATCCTTCATAATCATATTCATAATCTGTCATATTCATATTCATAATCTGTCATAATCATATTCATAATCTGTCATAATCATATTCATAATCTGTCACCAACTTCCTAATTCGTTAATCATTCATTTGTTTAACATAACGTTTTCACGATTCAGTCATTCGTTTAATGAGTTTTGTGTTTGATATGCAGTTCTCTACTAACCGAATTAGCGCGATACCACCCTACTGCATAATATTAAATTCACATTTATTGGTGCGGTTGATTTTTGAAACGTTTCATTGTCTGCCAAACGCACGTAGAAACACAATCATCATATAATGAATGAATGAATGAATGAATGAATGAATGAGTGAGTGAGTGAGTGAATGAACGAATGCATGAATAAATGGATGGATGTATGGATGGATGGATGGATGGATGGATGGATGGATGGATAGATGGATGGATGGATGGATGATTGGCTAATCAAATAAATAAATATATAGATTCCCATTAAAAACATTCTATGATCGTGAAAATTATCGGCATTGAAACTTACAGGAGTTGAGCCGCTCTATGGTTATGTCGAGATGAGCAAGCAACATGGAGGCGGAAGAAGAGGACCAATCGAAATGTCTTCGAAAATATTTATGATCTTTTAATAATTAAATGAAACAACTGATAAAAGGAATCGTGAACAACACGCCAGTAAGCTACTCCTATATTTAAGTATTTAATGTCAAAATGATCCTTCTCAAGGCTCAAACCACAAAATTATTTTTTTTAATTAAGTAAATTTTTAATTACTTTATGGCATAATTAGTTTCAAAGTTTACTTTTAAAATGTAATTGTATTGAATGTGATAGAAGTTAAATGGCTTGTAAATTCATGAATAATATTCATGGTGCTTATAACTTTCATGTTCATTTCTATGGTAACTTAATTTTATATAATATAACGGTTTACAAAACTTTTGAAGTTGAATATTGCAATTGTGTGTATGTGTATATGCGTGTATGTGTGCGTGGTGTGTGCGCGCGCATGTGTGTGAGTTGATGGGTGAGATTATAAAATGAGGATACGATGATAAATTGAGTGAGTACTTGAAATGATAACCTTGATTGGTTTTAACGTGCAACACAGTATTTTTTCTAGTCTATCATAAATTCTTTTTTATTGAGATCGTAATAATTTTATCTCCCGTGAATTATTCAAACGGAAATAAAGTGAAATAAAATTAATTGTGAAAACAATTTTTTAATTTTTGCCAAAAATTATCATCATTCATCATTGTTAATCTATCATCAATCGATTAGTATATAAAGCGCCATTTTTGCGATGTTCAACAGCGCTTCTCAGTGAGTTTTACAAACAGGCGAATCATGAGATGCGCTATGAACTTCGTAAGTGATGGAAAAGTAGTTAAAGAAGGAAGTTGAAAATTCCAGAGAAAAGGGTTTGAAAAAGCAGTAGCAGATATAGTATAAGAGTGTTTAACATGAGTTAAGGAGCAGTGATAACGAGAAGAGACGATCGTTTAGTTGATATATTTCAACGAGCAAATGATGTTAGTGGCAATTTCAGACATACACATTAATGAATAAATTAATCTTCACATTTATTAATAATAATTAATTATTGCACTGCATTCACTTGTGACTTTGTGAGAAACTGTGGATCAGCAGCGAGACTGAACAATAAGCTGCTATCGACATTCTCTCAATATTGTTCTCTCAACAATGAATTCATGCTGTTTTCATGTTATGTCGTGCATATTACATTAATTAGACTAGGCTTGTGTATCAGTTATTGAGGCTTGTTTATCAGTTACTTTTCTGTACATCACTCGGCAAGTCGCATTCAACCGGTTTCTTAACTAGCAGCTTCTTAATTCATTCAAAACGTAGCCATTTTTATTTAATATATCCAATATGGGCTCTATGTTTATCGTAATCGCTTGGTTCTTAGTTCTAATGCCCTCAGACTTTACAATTCGATCAAAACCCATCGTAACAAACTTAGGAAATTTATTTTGAAAGTCATTATCAAAAATAAATTGTATACCTACCATCCAATAATTCAGTAAACGTTTGAGTTTTATCAACAGTATTTGACAAACCGATTGAAACTTTCTCAGCTTTTTCTATCAAAATTTTTCTGCTGGTATCAATATTTTGAGACCATGAGACCACTTTTCAAAAATGCATCGCTGCTTAAACAATCCGAATACCAAATATACTATATTTAATTCGTCAACAATAAATACTTTAGCCATTTTTCAAACAGCAGCAACAAATATATATATATATATATATATATATATATATATATATATTTATAAATCTGTGTATGTGCGCGCGTGCAGTAGTAACTCGGCTCTCAGAGAGGTGCTTGAATTAATAATAGTAATAATATTGATAAGATAGTAATTATAATAATAAATATAATATAGTTATTATTATTATCAAAATCAGTATTAGCATTCCATTGACATTAGTTAGTTACTGCATGCAAACAAACTTGCACAAGCAATTAAAAATTTTATCAAATCATTGTTTCGCACGCGGTGAATAATTTGAAAGAAATTTCAAAAACCACCCCATGAATAGGAGGACCTAAAAATGTGATGTTTTTAAATTTTGTCATTTTACTCAACTGACATTCCTCACGATTTGCATAAGTGACATTACCCAAGTTGTTTTACTAACAAGACAACAGTTTTAAATTACTTGACACGAAGTATTTGATTTCTTAATGGAAAATAATTTTATTTTTCAACGTTATAAAATGTTTGAAGAGACTATAGCACTAGTAGTGTTTGCCCACATCATTTTGTTTGAAAAATTTTCATCTTTGCAAAATTAATTTTGCAAAAAATACTTCAAAAATACTTCAAAAAATCATTATATTGCACAATATGTTTGGTAATTGCATCGCGGAAAAAAGTTTTTAAAATGATAAGATTTCAATAATCAAATTGGAACAAAATGTTTAAATATTTCATCCCGTTTTCAGTTCTGTTTCAACTTTTATTTTTTCTACTTTTTTACTCATCTGAAAATAAGTAAATAAATAAAAAGGTTTGTTTATAATTCATTTAAAACTTCGCGCTGCAGTTTGTGGTTTTACGAAAAGTTTCTACAGAGACGAATCGTTTACGTTCGAGATTCCACTGGCTTTGAAACTTTCATCAATCATAAACTATAGTTATTTTAGAAGCTGGCATATAAATTTTCAGCTGCCTATTTTATTTTATTATTATCTACCATTAGTTGTTTAATATTTAACTGAATGCTTGTTTAAGTTTTACTTCATGACTTTACAGCAGTTAACAAAATTTCTAAGCATATTAATAGTACAAACGAATTCGAATTATAATTATGTATGCCCATAAAAACACATTAATATAACACGTATTTATATTATATACCTAATATATGCAAGTGTATATATACAGTATATATACCATAAATACAATTATTTATTTATTCACATTTTCAATTATTTATTCATCAGCAGAGCAGCGTAACCAAGCTTTTGGTAAACACGAACATGACAACATGGTATTGTCCAGGTGATTCGAATACAAACGTAAATAGGAATCTATTGATATCTGCCATGCAAACATACATACACACATACATACATACATACATACATACATACATACATACATACATACATACATACATACATACATACATACATACATACATACATACATACATACATACATATATACATACACACACCACACACACATCACACACACACCACACACCGACTTAAACATATATACACTCACACATACATACATGAACGCATACGCACACAAACATACACACATACGCGCACATACCTACAAGTATACGCACCGTTATACATACGTATTTATACATAGAAACGCAAAAACATGTAAGAACATGCCTTAGCTAAACAGGTAAATTCACTTATATTAACGTATTTAGTTATGTAGTCATATATATATATATATATATATATATATATATATATATATATATATATAATCCAAATCGAACGGTTACATATCAACTTGATAATGACGCTTTGACGTCAAAACGTTGGAAATTGAATTCATTTAGAAATGAGTTTTTTTTCAGTTTGATTAACAATTTAGGTTACGAACATAAGAGTTGGAGAACTTGGAAAATAAACTGACAATCGTTTGATAACTCCGATCGAAAGTATGTATAAAAGAAAGTATCCGGTCTAAATTTAGTTATGTAACAATACGTCATTTCATAGAGTTTCTTTATTCAAATCCACATACGATCACACCCGACAAAATTAAAGTTATATATATATATATATATATATATATGTGTGTGTGTGTGTGTGTGTGTGTGTGTATGTGGGTGTGGGTATGTATATGTGTAATATATATCTGTGTGTATGTATTTAAACTCATATATATATATATATATAAATGTGCCTAAGCAGAGATGAAAAAGGAGAGATAAGGAAGAGAGAGAAAGAAAGTAAGAGAGAGAGTTGGGTGTATTTATAAAATAAATATCTTAGGCTAAGTTGAGTTTTCAACGTTTGCTCATTGTCGTCACTGAAGCCAATCTTTAAAATTTCATTGTTTAGAGGTTTTCAGTTTTCAGTAATTTTAAACAAATTACAAAACAGAAAGTAAAGGATCGGCAGGTTTGTTTGTTCACATTTAAAAAAACTATTATGCAAACTTTTAATTAAAATTTTTATTCAATTAAAAAATTAATTTTAACAACTTTAACACAATCAACCATTCACATGATTTACATTTATTATACTATTGCAACACCAACATCGAGAACCATGTTAAAACTGACTATGAAAATTGTGAGGATGGATGCACTGATTAAAATGATGACGTGTCCATTGAATGATTTAATCACTACATCTCATGATCATTATTTAATAATATATTATAATTTATTAATATAATATAATTTATATTATGGGTAAATTTGCATGTATTGTTTATTTTCTACCTGTTGGTAATTTTCTTGCCGTGTCGTATTGATCGTTTTTTTGCGAAAAATTCTTCAGATTATACGTAAAAAATTAAAAAAATTTCAATATTAAAAAGAATTGAAAAATATTTTTAAGACATTTCTATTCGTTGATTGGTCGGTAGGGTTTATCAATTAAGTATTTTGATAATTTTATGTTAGCTGATTGGTCTGATTGAAACATAGAATGATTGGCTATCGAATATAATCGTTTGGTTGAATAAATGATTGATTAAGGATTGGTAGTTAAATGAAAAAATGAAGGAATGATTGATTGGTTGATTGATTGATTGATAGATAGATTGATTGATTGATTGAGTTATTCAATTGAAAGTTTTATTGAATAACTTGCTCATTATTTCATTAAATTATTAACAACAAATGAGATCAAAATATTTTCCAAAAAATGTTATAATTGATAAAATTCGACTAAGATAGAAAATTTCCTTGTATTCATTTCCGGGAAGAATAATTTAATGAATGCATGCATCGCCAATCAATTAGTCACGTCACCAACAGACACACCCACGCAAGTAATAAGTCGGAAACACCCATGCAAAATTACTCACCCACACAGATACGCTTAGATAGATGAACAAATCCAAATTATAAAAAAGCCACATACACACAATGGCATAAATAATGAGCCGAAATAAACACCTCACACAAACACATCCCTACAACCAAAAAAAAACACACCCATACAAACAAACACAAACACACAAACATGTGTGTGCACCAACAACCCGCAGAGCAAAATAAGGGAACACAACAATCTCTCTTAATTTTAACAACTTCTTTCAAAACTTTATCAGTTTATTCATGAAAATTCTTGATGAATTCAAACCTTACCTTCAAATTGAGCATTCACAACTCTCCTATCGAATAGTCAAGTGTCCAACACTTGAGTTTGATTATGCGTGTGTGTGTTTGAGTGTGTGGTTGGTGTGTGTGTGTGTATGCATGTGTGTGGCATTTGTATATGTTAGTCTGGTGTGTGATGTTGTATGTATGTGTCTGCGTGAATTTGTATGCGTGTCTGTGTGTTAGTTTCTCGTGATTTCTTAAGGGTAAATAATTTTATTATTAAACAATATAAAGCTCAGCCTGAGAAGCTAGTGTGAATAAGACAAGTAGCACTAACTAGCCAGCCAAGCAGCCAGCCAACCATCCAAGCAGCACAATAGGCAGGCACGACACAGGTGCGTGTTGCCAGTTCAAAATAAACAATTTCAACGCCGCACAACACAAGCGCGCACACCGACGACCTCTTCACGATGCCTGCTGCACACACACACACACACACACACATAATCGCACACACATTTTCTCCTAACATAATTTTTAATTGCATGCAAACACTTATTATAGACTAAAAAAACAGGTAGAATAAACCGCGCACTCTTAATCAACCTCACACAAACAAACTCACAGACATAAAAATTTACACACGGATAAACACAAACACACAAACAAATAATCACACAAACAGTTATAAAAGCACGAAAAAGCACAAACGAGCAATCAAAAATAGACACACAGACAGACAACAAAACCTGCAAAAACTGAGTGAGCGCAATTTTTCAAATCATTGAACATTTGCTACAATTTCCTCTCTCCCTTTCAATTTTTTTGCATTTGTTCTATTTATTATTATTTTCATTTCATTGATTTATCAATCTGAACAGCATTGACGTGCATCTGCAACACAGGCGTTTTGTGGCAACAAGCACGTAACGTAAAATAGAAACGCAATGTTTATGAATTCAATCAATTTATTCTTAAGCCGTTTCCGCAATGCTCAACAGCTCTCCTCAATGAATTTTCAAACAGGAGTGCCTCAAAATTCGCTCTGAACTTCGTAAACCAGGAGTGGGCAAACTTTGCTCTGATGGCCGCATTGAGAACTTTTTTATCTTTGAAGGGCCGCATATATACCTAAATAGCAAATTTTTTTGACTCGCGGAAGAATTTTTTGAGATTTGTGGCTCTTTTTTTGGTCATAATGTCTGGCTGGCTGACGAACTTTTTTCTGGCGAACAAGGCCTAGCGGGCCGCATAAAATTGGCCGCGAGCCGTAGTTTGCCCACCCTTGTCGTAAATGATAAGGGTTATTTAAGGGCGATTAGGGTTATTTAAGGTACCAGATGGATACATGGGAAATAATTTAAATTGAAACATACTGTACATAAATGAGCAAATTTTATAAATGTTTCCACGTTTAATAATAATCTAGTGTAAGTTACTGAGGGAAGATTTGCAATTATGTAATTTTGTATCAATAGCGTTGTTGTTTCTAATCACTTAGCGTTTTTTTTCTTCATTAAGATCCTTAACAATCTAAGCAGAATAAACTTCACTTCATTTATTGGAATTAAATTAGTTAAACTGAAAAATACATTTAACATCGATATGAGTTTATTTTAAAAAAAAATTTAAAATAAAAGTTCATTTCAACGGTTCTAATTAATTTTAATGCCTTTATTACAAAAATCAACATCATCAGTTATCAGCTTTTTATGAAAAAACTTAAATAAATTGCAAATAATTTTCTTCCTATTTGTGAGACGCCAGAGACCAAGGAAAGTTTATTACCACTTCATTTTTTGAAGTGATTTTCTTTCAATCTCTTTACTTTTTCAATTTTTCTTTTCCTTTCTCTTTTCTTTATTTCTCTTTTCATTATTTCTTCTTTCTTCTCTCTCTTATTTTCTTCGCTTTTATTTTATTTTTACACTCGCTTCCTCGCTCTCTTTTTTCTTTTTTTCACTCATCCTCTTTATGTTCTTTTTTCTTCCTCTCACATTTTCCATCATATCTTCTTTTTTAAATCATTTGTTAGCATTTTCTTTTTAAAGTGTTCTTCCATTCATCGCTTCTAAAAATCAGGTTATTTATGTATCACTGCCAATCAGTGCGTGCTTTGTGGTGTAAGTATCATTGAGTTGAGTAACATTGTGCATTGTTGTATATCTTTTGGTATCATTGTATACCAATGTGTATCGTTATCTATCATCTTGCATCTCTGAACAATATTAGGTACATTTGGCTGCATGCAGCAGGTTGCATTTGCCATTTTTATGCAAAAAATGAAATAATGCCGATAAACAATTTTGTTTCATTGATTACAACACAGACGCACACAAACATATACTTTATATATATTTATATATATATATATATAATTATAATTATACTATATGTGTGTGTATGTGTATGAATTTTTGTGCATGTTGGTAAAACGCCATAATTCATGCAGTAATTTATGAAATCTACCAAACTTCCAGCGTTGGATAGTTTTTTTATCACATTTTTCAATATTTCTAGCCAAATTCTTGTCGTCGTTATTTATTTTATTAATGTTAGAATAATAAACAGTTTTCTAATTCATTCTCGAGTGTATAAGACCTATTTCGATTCTTCAATCATCTTCAGCAAACGTTGCAGTTTATATAGAGAATTTGTATAACCCAGTACCTGCTGCAGTTTATATAGGTTAACTGGTTGTAACACTCCAGAATGGATGAGAAAACTGTAGATTATTTTAACTTTAATAAAATAAATAAAGACGACATAAACTTGGCTAGATATAATGAGAAATGTAATAAAAAACTGAAATTCGGTAGATTTCATAAATTACTGAATATTTGTGTGTGTATGAATAGAATTTAACTTATGATCATTTAATAAGTGGCTAAAGCCCAAGAGAAACATAACAACAGCAGAACAAGTGAACGTACCCCAGCCAACCGTCGTGAACAGAAATTAAGAATGAAGAAAGTTCTTTAATATGTTTGAGGTATTTCCTCTTCAACAATATACGATGTCATGTGTTCTGATCTATTTGCAGGATATCAATAACGTCGTATGCTGTGTTGGTTGATAGATGGATGAATGGATTAGTAGATGGATTGATGGATAAATTTATTCTTTTAATTTCGTTTATTTTTTATTTAAAAATCAAACAAATTGCAATGAAATAGCAATTAAGTCGTCTTCGGAGCCATCGCATTGCTACAAAAAAAAACATTGAAAGTATCTTTGAAAATAACTTAGAAAAAAAATGTAATGTCATTGTTATCAAAGTACAATAAATAGAAAAAATAAATGAATAGATAGATAGACGAATGAATGAGTGGATGGATATTTAATATCTAGTCAATGAATGAATGATGAATGAATGATGAATGAACAGATTGCAAAGATAGATGAATGATTGAATAAATAAATAAATAAGTAAATAAAGACCTAATAATTAAATAGAAATATATATGGTTGTAGAATTGGATGGGTGAATAAACTATTAGGAATATCGATGGTCTAAAAATATCTGGATTTATAAAAAGTATGATGGGATAGATGAGTGTGTGTGTGTGTGTGTTTGAGTGGTTAAAATTTGGATGTAAAATGTAAAATTAATTAATTATCCTGACCAATAGATGTTTTAAATGAAAATCCTTCAATAATTATCCAAAAAATTGGCAACGAAAAATTCATTTTTTTCTTCCCCGAGTAACTTCCTTACGTATCGTAGATCGTACGTACTTAACCTTACTTAGTACCTAAAAAAGTAACAATTAAATCTGCAAATGAGCAAAAATGAAGGAGAATTTTTTTTATGTCGGATCGTCAATTTTTTAAATACTGTTATCAAAGTGGGGCCATTTTGTTTGAACAAACATCTATGCAAACATATCACATCATGGGCAGACATACATTCTACATACATATAAACAAACATATCTTATCATGGGACTCATATCACTCATTCTACACTACACACATAACAACATCATGCAAACCTACATTCCACATACATAGTTATAAACATATATGTGATAATTATTTGTACGTGCTTTGAATCATCAAATGCCCTAACACTGAGAAACGATTGATCGTCTTTACCTGCCAGTTCCGTTGTGATAGGCAGAACTGTTAGCAGAGGTGTTGAACTACACAACCTCTCTCTATTTAAGGGTCTAGTTATTTATAAAAATATTTCAAATTAAAAAATCAGTAATTCTCGTGAAACGATTGTAAGGATTTTTAAATTCATCATCGGTGTGTTAATTAATTTTATAGTAACACAATGATCAACGACAAAAATATTAATCTACATTGGGCAGCGAAATGGTGTAGTAAATAAGACGCATGGTCTTGTTCTTGCAGTGGTCGGGTTCAAAAACAAAGTGATCGCCATCCAACATATGCAACGTGTTTGAAGCGTTGATTCACGCACATTTTTTACAAACCCTGTATGCGTGTTGTTGATACCTTAGAGAAATAATAAGGCGAAATGTGCAGAAAAAAGTATAGCTTAATAAAACGCTTACAACCTAAAATGCAGGTTTCCAACTAGATATCTATCTATCAAGATCAAGAAAAATACCTGAAAAGCAAAATGGGCGAATGGAAGAACGGCATCTTCGGTTGCTTCAACGACTGCACCGTCTGCATCATCACCTACTTCCTCCCTTGCTACACGGCTGGAAAGAATGCGGAAGCTGTGGGAAAGAGTTGCTTCCTGTACGGCTGCCTCACGTGCATCGAGCCCATCGGCTGCATACTGAGGAGCACCATCAGGCAACAGATTAGAGAACAATATTCCATCGATGTACGTTTGGTTGCCGGTTGCTGTTTTGCATGTCGCTTGTTGATTGGTCTCTAGAAGACTGAGACACAAAGATTGGAATAGAGATTTGTACTTTCAATCATTCACTCATGTCAATCACTCACTCATGTCAATCCTTAATTCATGCCAATTATTTGACCAATCAACCACTTAATTATTCAATCAATCAACTAGGGAAGCTTTGGTGGTGACCTCCTCTGCCACATGTGTTGTCCATGCTGTGCCTTGGTGCAAGAAGCTCAGGTTACTTATTTTAATATCGTTATAATAGAATTATAATGTTTTATTATTGTGTGTGTGTGTTTGTATGTGTGGTAGGTGTGTATGTGGTGTGTGACGTGTGTGCAAACGAATTTATGCTCAAGTAACAGAATGAAAACAGTTCTATAAAATAGTTAACATTAGAACTTGTAGAATTTAATTTATTGCTAAGGAACATTTGGGGAATGTCCTAATTTTACAATATTAATAATAAAAATAATAGAGTTATTATATTTGTTATTATTTAAAATAATGTTAAAAAAATGTTTTGATACAAATTCTTGAAAGTCTGATTTATGTAGATATTTTCCTGATTGCTGAAACTTACTTTGTAAACTTTCTCCTTGCATACACAAACCACCATTCTTTCATTCTTTCTTTGCTTACACTTCATTCAGTCTTCTGAAACTATGTATTGTAAGAGTTCCTTTCAATAGCTGTTCATTCATTCATTTGATTCTTTAATCATTCATTCGTTCATTTATTTGCCCATTCATTTTTTCATTCATTCATTCTTCCATTCATTCATTCATTTGTTTTTCTATCCATTCATTCGTTCGTTCGTTCGTTCGTTCGTTCTTTCAATTGTTTATTTTCAAATTTTTCCCCATTCGTTCATCGACTGACTGTGACTCATCGTGATATTTACTCTTTTATTCCTTTGCTAAATCATTCGCTCCCTAGTTCAATCATTCATTCTTTGTTTCATATTTTGTTTTGTCTATACTGTTAACAAATACAATACAATACAAAACATCATTACGATCTTACCATTTAACGGGTTTACTAGGTTGGACTAATTAACAAACAAGGCTGGTAAGTTGTCATAAAATAAAACTGCGAATAGTGAGTGAATGTTGGTAATAATTAATGAAACCAAGGACGGTGCATGCTTAAGAGAAACTTTTCAATGAAATAATTTTCTAGAAAAGATGCAAGAAGAAATGTAATTAAGGAGAGTAGAATACGTCTTAACCACCTACTAACATACGCTTCTCTTTTGCCTACTACTCGTGCCTCTATCTTCTCTCGTAGATTCTTCTCCTTACACTGGCTATACCTCGGAAATATGGCTGATGATGATAACGACGATGACGATGATGACGACGACGACGACGATGATGACAGTTTTAACGATTCTGATAATGATGGCGTTGGTGATGATGATGGAGATAGTGATGATGATGAGGATGGTTAAGATGATGAAGATGGTGGAGATGATGGAAATGATGATGTGGATGATAATGATGATGCTCTCAATTTATGTGAAATTTTTTTTTCTATTTTAGGAACTAAGTGCCGGTGGACAGAGCATGAACAGATAAGCGTTATAACAACAATACTGGCGATGAAGATGATGACGATGGTGGAGGTGATAATGATGGTGATGACGATGATGATAATGTGATGACGGTGATGTGATGACGATGATGTGATGAACATGATGGTAATGACGATGATAGTGGTGAGTATTGATGATGATTTTGAGTTGATTGACGATGATTACGATAACTATAATGGTAATGTTAATAACTGTCATAAGGATGATAAACTAACAAAAATGATGATGATGATAATGATGATGTGAGGTTGGGTTCGATGTTATATGATGATGATGATGGTGTTGGTGGTGATGACGATGACAATTTTGATAGTTCTCAATTGCAATAACGATTATAGCATCTCGTTGAATTATTGTATTCTTATCATTGGATCTGATAATAATGATGACGCAAAACCGATGATGATAATTATGATAAACATGATGATGATGAGGATGATGATGATGATCATCATGATGATGATCATGATGATTGTGATGAAAATGTGATGAAAGATGATGATGACAAATTATGATGATGATAACGATGATGATAATGTTAACAATGATGATGACGTCGATGATGATGTACAAGATTGCTTCAAATGTTATTACAGGTCAATATAAATAATTGTTCTCATTGATTAATAATGATAATATTAATAATAATTTTTATTATTATTGTTTTTTGTTATTATCTGTAACCTTGTTTATATTCTCACAGCAATAATATTATTCATTTGATGTAAGGCTATCATCATCATCTTCTCATTCATCATCACCTTTATAATCATCATCCTCACCATTTTCGTCATCGTCACCACCTTCATGATAATTGTTGACGTTGTTGTAATCATCCTCATTAACGTTAAAATGTTTGTAATCATTATCATCATCAAAACTCGGAACTATTATCAACATCGGCTTCATCGTAAACATCGTTATCATAACCGCGATTGACGTCATCATCAATAACAACATCATCATCACCATCATCAATAACAACATCATCATCACCATCATCAATTAAAATATCATTGTCATCATCATCATCACCATCAATAACAACATCATCACCATCAATCACTACAATTATAATATAAATATTTTTTTAAATTTTATCAATTAAACAATAAAATAAAAACTTGAATTTGATTTGTTGCCATTTTTGTTGCTTCATAAGGGTTTTGAACGCTGCTTACACACACACACACACACATATATATATATATATATATATACATATATATATATTTACAACATATTTATATATATATATATATATAATAAATTATTTACATACATATATATATATATATATACATATATATATATTTATATACACATATATATATATATATATTTATATATATATGCATACATACATGCATACATATATTTTGGCCTAATATTTTAATTATTTATTAATGTAGCAAAATGTAAATATGAGCTGTGCGCGCATATTAAATTCGATCACCAATTAGCTTTTTTAGTAGTGTCTGCGCCATCACTTATTAGAAATATACACACCCACACACATGTAAACAAATACACACACACACACACACAAACACATACACACACACTGTAGTACACTTGAAGCGTAAGTAAGGACCAATGAAATAGTTTGTTTGTTTGTTGTTAAGCTTGTTGCCATGTAGTCGTTACTGGGTAAACAGCAACAAACAACTACAAACTTATAAACAGACAGTGCGTTGCTATGTTGTCGATTGTTGTATAAGTATGTGTGTATATATATATATATATATATATATATATATATATATATATATATATATATATATATATATATAACCTTACAATACACACGTACACACGCACGCACACACACACACACACTCATCTACACACAAACAGTTAGTTAATTATAGTTAGTTTTTTGTGGTTTCGTATTACTAAATAATAAAAAAAGTAGTTTATCTTGTTTAATGCAAACATTTCAAAAAAAGGAAGAAAAATGTATGCCGTCCATCTTTAAAAGCGAAACGTCATTCATTTCGTTACTGAAATCTTTGATGGAAAAACATTTATACTGAATCAAGTGCTGTTGAATACTTTTAAAAAGAATAGTTTCTTTTACATTTTTTATGGAAAAATATTGAAAAGTTTAATTTAAAATTTGTTTGCCAATGAAAAAGGGATTAATCTGAATTAATTTTTATTATTTGTTCGGTTCGTCTGTCTCTTGTGAAGTTTAATTAAATTTAATATGTCTCTCTCTCTCTCTCTTTCATAATCTTTTCTTTCATTCACTTTTCTTACTTTCATTTCTTACTTTCTACTTATTTTAAAAATTCTTGAATTGTTATTAGTTTGCGTTTGACATATTTAAATAAAATACATTTCACCGTCAATATTATAACTTGTTCAAAGCGTTTGTTTGTTCAAATGAAATTGCTAAAACACGTTTAGTGCGTGCGTGTATGTATGTGTGAGTTTGTGCGTGTATGTATGTCTGTGTGAGTGTGTGCGTGTATGTATGTCTGTGTGAGTGTGTGCGTGTATGTCTGTCTGTGTGTATGCGTGAGTGTGTGCGTGTATGTATGTCTGTGTGAGTGTGTGCGTGTATATCTGTGTGTGTATGCGTGAGTATGTGTATCATCGATTCAATTGCTAAACGGAAACGCAAGAAAGAAGAAACTTGAAAAAATATTGCATATGGTTTCGGTAAACAATCCCATTTGAAAAAATCACTTTCACATATCATTGTGAATTACTCTTAAACATATAAGATATAATCAACACAGAAAACACATACACACATACGTTATATACACACATTTATACATGCATAATTTTTTTAATTTATACATGACCGCTGATTTAATTAAATGTTATTGCATTAGAAATAAACACACACACACACACATATATATATATATATATAATATAAATATATATATAATCATAATGACATGTTTGTTACGCACATAACACTTATTAATTTAAGAGCACATTTAAAACATGCAAATTAAATAATTGTCTCGTCATATTAATTAATATTATCCTCTACTACCTCGCATCAAACATACATGTATTAATACGTACGTATCAATCAATGATATAAAGATTAGGAGAATGCCTGCTAGCATGTGTCGGAGGGCGTTGCATCATTCGTCAGCAGACTGCTATCGCGTTTGTTGTTGTCTCTAGCTTGTATTCGAGTCAGAAATAATGGCAACAATAACCAACCCATGTAATATTAATTAGCAAATATTATTTATTATTCAAGAATTATCAAATATTTGCTATTAAATAAGATTTCCATTAACTTAAAACCGTACTTTTTGGTAAAGTTGTGAAACATACGTTCAGACATGAATTTAGAATGATTTGGGGATTTTAATTAAGAAAGTGCTTCGAGGTCAGTCTCTACCTATTCTCACTATCGAAGGAGGGCTGTCCAAAGAGGATGCCAAGTTGGGACTTTTAGGTGCAGTCCAAATATGTAAATTGCCTAATTTGAACAATGGTTTTTGATTTTAACCGTTTACACACACACAAGCACAGTCAAACGCGAAATTTTTATGATATTGTTCATTCAATCTTTTGTTGTTTATTTACGTCATAATTTTCATTAACATCTGAATTTAAACAACGCTTTACCATTCAAGAAACAACTTAACTAAAAATAAATTTTAAATAATATTAAACATTTGGCTAAACATCTACAACAACAACAACAACAACAACGAACGAGTTAACACATTTTGACGTGGATCGACCGATTGATAGTTGAGTCCAGAGAATAAGTTAAAAATCACGTGGTGTTGGTACGCGGGAAAATAATTTAAAAAAGCAAACCAAAAAATTTCAATTCCAAAAATTTTTTTGAACAAGAATTGAAATAAAGCTACGCTCGTAATGGGTCGTTGGAAGAGCGGACTGTTCAGCTGCTGCGATGATTTATATGTTTGTTGCTGTAGTAAGCTTATTTAATTGCTTAAAATAATTTTGAATATAATAATTATACTATAATAATAATTAATATAATAATAATCAGTGGTAGATCTCGACAACTTTGACGGGCCAAAATTTTTTAAATGTTCAAATTTTTACGGGAACCAAAATTTTCACGGGAGGTCTAAATTTGTAATAGTATGGCTGGCTGATGACCTTTTTTTGCTTATCACGTCCAATTTTTCGTCGATTTTCTACGTAAAACGGTCCATTTTCTGACATAGATTAAAAAACTGCTCACAACGTAGGAGGGGCACTGGTTTCCCCGGCCACCCCTGGATCCGCCAATGATCATAATAATAATTGTGATTTTTTCAATTATGATTGTTTGATTGTTATTGATATTATTTTATGAGCATTGCAATCGTTGTCTAAATTGTTATATAATCTTTTCAAACAACTACTTGTGTGAAAGATTCTATTCTAATCTAATTAATTGTTTGATTCAATTCAGTCAATAATACATATACTTCATTAGTCATTTATTTATTTATTCGTTTGTTCGTTCATTCATTCATTCATTCATTTATTCTTTCAAACTACACCATCACACACACACACACACACACTTTGGATCATATAATGATTGCATAGAATATAGTGTCCGACAGGTATTTGAACCACGTATTTACAAATCTAACTCATCAGCTATCTTCCTGCCTTGCTACGTAGCCGGGAAGATAGCCGACAAGGTGGACAAAAGTTGCCTGATCTGCTGCGTCTGCCACCTCTGTGAACCCCTCAACATCATCGCCTCAACCATCCTGAGAGAGAAGGTCAGAGATCAGGAGGACATCGGCGTAAGTTTCTCACTAACAATCTCAACAAACATCTTTCTTCATTAAAAAATTAGAATCACGGTAGCTACGGATTTTTTTCTTAAGCTAAACCCTAAAGAAATTGAATTCTTCGTAAATCACTTTGTAATGTATAAAGTTTGATTAAATAAGTGAAATTCAAGCAAGATTAACGTTGAAAACTTTTAAAATTAAAGGGCAGCATTATAACTGACTGTCTGGCTTCCGCATTCTGTCCATGTTGTGTTCTCGCTCAAGCAGCTAAGGTTTGCTTGGCTGTCAATTTTATGAAAATCACAAAAACAAATAACCGAATAACAAAAAAAATTAATTTACAACAAAAAAATTAATTTACAACAAAAAAGTTAAAATAAATAAACTTTATAAAACGATTGCTGCAACTCTTATTTTAAAACATTCCACCGCCCAGGAAGTTGATGCTTTGTAACAGCGCGCCGGTCCTAAAGTCGAGAGCGATGTACCGAAATTTCACGAAAATGTATTCACGTGAATAAAAAAAAACTAATTCATTTGAAATTATTTTAGGTAATTGATAAAAAAAATGGAAAATTAGGTATATTAAATAAAAGTCATACATGATTTAATTTGTTAATTGCAATGAATCAAAAAAGTGACTGTTGTCCTATGTGTGTCATTTCCAGCCTATGTAGGTACGGGAGTCGTAAGAAAAAATTTCTTGCGTCCTAATAAGGTACGCCTCTGATTAAATGGATATTGGAAAAATATTGAAATTTTTTGACAATATAACAGTAATATAATAAATAAATAGATATAACAGAAAACAATAATTTTCACAATAAATTATACTAAATAAAAATAATAAATAGCATTTCGTCAGTGTGGTAAATGTACAGAATACAGAAAATTTTCTGAATGAAGAATGTATGAGGGATGTATCACCGGGGAAAAAGTAAGGGGGTAGAGGAGTGCATCTGCACCCCTCAGACACCAGAAATGTGGAAAAATAAGTTGGAGATATTGAAATTTTGATGTTTCAATAACAGTGAACATTTTTGTTAAAAGTATGTGATATATGGGGCAAATAGAAAATTAGTTAAATTAGACAAACAAAACGTCGCAAACTTATTTTGATATCCCAAAACAAAACTTTTGGAGCTAGGATAACTCATCATCGAAAATTTCATGGTTCTACAAACTTAAAAGCTCACGACTCAACCAAATTATGTATAGAAGGGGCTCACTGAGACATGCTTTCATCGTTTTACATATTTACAGGTAAGTTGCCAGTTGATAACGTCTTAGCTACTGCACGGTACATTTACTCATTTATTGTGAAAAATTTCCAATATAAATGATTAACATTTATTAACTTCAATTTTAAAAGATACTGCCAACGATAAATTTCGTTTTAATTATTGCTGTCTTCAGCATTTCTGCTTTTTTGCCTGGAGGAAGTTAGTTGTGGTTGTCCAAAATCCATCATTACAAATAAATAACTAGCGTTGCGATTTTTATAAACTTCTCTTCTCAGATAGCAAATGGAAAATCACTAACGGACGAAAGTATCCGGAAAATATGTCAATCTGCCTGCAACGAGGTTGGACGCTTGATGCACTGCAAAAAGCGTTGTGAAAGGAGTGTGGTGTTGTCAACTATGACACCTGCACCAAACCTCCATGTTGGATCCAAACAAAGGCGTTCATCCCTGATGCCTCAGCTGCAGCTAGCGGCTTCTGTCACCACTTATATCCTCTTGAATGACTACGAAAAACGGTGGCAAGTGTTCCGTTAAAAACATGTGTTGCTATTTAGCAAATTATTTTTGCTTCTTTGTAGTGAAAACATTTAAACATGTAAAATTAGAACATTTTAGTTCAAAAATAGAAATATTTGAATTTTCTGCAAACAGTTTTGGCCAAAATTTCTGACAACTCAACAAATTTTACATTGTATAACTGAGATGTTTGTGTAAGCTATTGCGTCTGCCACGGTTTAAGCAATTAACATTATAATGTTTCTGTTTTCTTTTGTCTTTTAGAATAAGCAGTCAGGCTTGTAATACTAATTAATGAGCGACGAAATATTTGTCAATATATCTTTATGTGGTTGTATGCATAGTGATATATATATATATATATCACTATATATATATATACATGTATATATATATATAGTGATATATATATATATATATCATATATACATAAATATATATATATATATATATATTTATGTATATATGTGTATAACATGTGTGCTTCTAAATGTAACAACATGTATTCGGATGCGTCCGTCCTAGCTCACTCCTGCTACTTCCAATCAATGCGCGCTCACTCAATATAATGTATAGAAAAAAGAAATGCGAGAGAGAGAGAGATAGAGAGAGAGAGAGAGAGAAAGAAAAGAAATGAGAGAGAGAGAGAGAAAGAAAAGAAAAGAAATGAGAGAGAGAGAGAGAGAGAGGAGTAAGAGAGAGAAAGAGAGAGAGAGAAGGAAGTAGGCGAGAGAGAAGCAAGCATTGATGGACTGATGATTCGCGTGGCCAACGTGGACATTTGGACAGATGCATGCTCGTTTGCGATAAACGCTGAATGAATGAATGAACGAACGAATGAATGAACGAATGAACGTTTAGGCTCTGTTTACATCATTTTAATATGCGCCTGTCTCTATAACTTGGATTTTATTGTATATTATTTAAGTTTCTTGTTAATATTTCTGTCACTAATGTTTAAAAATAAAGGCAAATTTAACGATTTTTAATGTATCTGCTTTGTTAACTTGACAAGTTTAAAAATCAGCAATCTTATATAAAATCAAATTACCTTTTGTTTAATAAAATTGAGTTACACCTAGACATAAAAAAAAGTAATAAATAAATAAACGTTATTGAAAAGTTTCAAATGAAACTTTAACGTTAAGTTTTTAATTTATCAATGATGGTGATAGATATTCATCTGTTAGTGAGGCCCTTCTGGATTATTTTCATTCCATATTTTTGTTTCAACGTGCAAAGGACGGAAACACAGAATGGAAGATTTTGGAAAAATTGTTAGTTTTGGAATGCATATCGGTGGATGGTTTCAAATTTGTTTAAATTAATTAATTAAACCTTATTGAAAAAACGAATTTGTCTTTTATTGTGTTGTGATGTAATCGTAGCACTATTTATTAATCTTCTTTTTTGAGTTTTCGTATGTTAGTATGTTAATTTTTCGGCTAACGTATTAGTTTTCATTAAATGACCCATCATGTAATCATCGTTCTTCAATTAAGACAGGAAACAAACTTAATTGAAAGAATTTTCATTTAACAGATCATAATAAATCACATAATCGTATACAAATGAATATAAGATATAATGATGATGATGAAACATTCAATGATAACACACGATGATGATGAAACATTCAATGATAACACCTAATTATAATGAAGCATTCAATGATAACATAATGTGGCGATGATGAAACGTTCAGACTACATGGACGCGAGCGAGGGTGAGCACAGTTGCGAGAAGATCCGACCGATACGAAACGATGACATGTCTGAAGGCGACTTCTACATCGTCAAGTCCGATAGATACGAAGGTTCGCAGCGCATTTTTTTCAAATTACATTTGATTACAAATTTGAGTCAATCATTTAAAAAAAAGTTTGATGAATATCTAATCAATGCGTTTTTAACTTTCAAAAGGAAAGTCAAACCAAACGAAACAACCTTCAGAATGCACCTTGGCCTTCAACCTTGGAGACAGAATGATGTCACTCAAGGTCAACGTCTGGTGGTGTGAGAAACCATTTGAAGAACCATTTCTAGCTATTTATAGCGATTGCGAAGGTCGCAGAAAGGGTCTTCTGGTGAGCAGGTTTTTTAAAACTTCGGTTTTAATCTGAAGGAATTGGCCTGCATGTATATTGCATTTTTATAAATTTATTATAAGAGCAGTTGTTTTGTTTTTTATTGGCTGTTCTTCTACTCATTCTCTGGTATCTATTTGTATATGTGCATTGTTTTGTTAGAAACGTTTCTAGAAAAAAGTATCACCTCACATACAGACATCGTTCAATTGCTCGAGCAAGTTTCCAACAGCTCTAGTCAACAGTCCGACATACTGTCTGACACTTTATCACTACAGAGGTCACATCGCGTCCGACTACTACTTCTCACTCTCTGTACTAGCCATGCAAGGTCCTTTCACTGACCATCCTTTATAAAGTTGTAGTGTTATAGAGCGTCAGAACAATGTATATTTGTATTGTTTATATTGTACAATTGGTAAGAAAATTGGTAATACAATGACAGTGACGAAACATTAAAAATTTGTCTATAAAATATGGATAAGATAATAATAACGATAAATAATCAATTTTATTGCTGAATATTTTTTAGTAATAATAATGGAATAATAATATTAATAATATTATTCGAGTTCTAATTTGCGATATCGTCTCAACAGAATTGTTCGCATTTCCCGTCGGAACAATTGCCGCGCTGATAATAAGCGGCATGGTCCTAACGATGATTATCGCAAAAATCGTCTGCGTGCTAACTGGCCAGGACAAGAGACTTCCGGATCGGTGCTACCTTGGAGAGGATCAGAAAAAGATCCTGAGCAACATCGATCCAGAGACCAGCTACGGTTGGTCGGATGAATTTACTATTTTATTGTTTAAGTTCTCTAGCAGGGTGGCCATTTAGAGCATTTTATAAATTAATGTTATTGTTTGGTTTAACAATAACAAAAATGTTAATGAATGCATATATAGGGTACATACTTACCTGTACGTGAACCGACTTGAAGACGTTAATTTATATTTTACCTCTGAATAACTTGACGAGGACAATCTTTTATTACTCTCAATATTTAAAAGCCCACCAGCTACTCTAGCATACGTTTTCATTTTTCAAAATTGTGATTGAGAAATAAACAATTCACCCGCAAATTGTACAAAGAAAATTACATCGAATAAATTTTCCTCAACAATTTTTAATTAACACGTCGATGATTTATAAATTGATATAACAAAAAATAAATAAAAAATCAACCAGATATAACATCTCAAAGTCAAACTTTCCTCCAGTCTAACCAACGTGCAAGCTCTTTGAAATCCAACCCGATGAGAAAATCGACAACAATCCTCTACTCGCCAACGCAAACGACATCACCACAACACTCGGTCCATTCCTTGCGACCACTACAGCAGATTCAAGTAGCAGCTACACCGTCCACACCACCATCATCCATCCTAAGATACAATCGCTCGCCCAGGTCTTCGTACGGCAACAACTACTTCCCGAGAACATCTAATGACCTCTACTTGGACAACGGTCAGCACCTACACACGGACACTGACTATGATTTCTTGGACGCTTCCGTCACAGGATCGCCAACCTGATGCAATAAACATATATGTTTGCTTTACATGTGGTGATGTGGAAAGTTTAAAAGTAGGTTGAAGCAATTGTCTCCACTTTTAGCTGAGGTGGTCTGTTATAAAAAAAAAGCTGGTTGAAACTATATTAATTCTCTGTGGCTATCAATAAAAAACAATTTGTTACCAAAAACGTTAAGGGGTATACCCTTTTGATTATATATAGTAAATTCGAAATCAACCGAAAATTTGATGCGGGCGAATGTAGATGTGGACGGTTGCAGAAGCGGGCGGTTGAAGTTTGGAAAAAAATTTTCCGCAAAGGACTCCACAAACCAGATTGATGATTTAGACGTCTATGTATGTCTATGATGATTTAGCATTTATTAAATTTATCTTAATCAACAACAAAATTTAATTTGGAAAAACAAAAAATTGAAACAGAAACAACTGAAACAAAGCACAAAAGGAAGAAAATAATTATTCGGCAGTTTATGGTCCTCTGTGTTATCGTTATTTTGATAAGTACCACACAGTGATATAACGAAAAACCAATATGAAACTCTGAACACAAGTGCGTGCGTGTATGAAAATATGCATGCCTAAATTGATACATTTTTTAAATGTGAAAACGTTAAAATAACTACCTATAGGGTTGTGTGTTTTTGCGTATGTATGTGTTGTGTGCATGTGTGAATAAAATAAACGATTATAACGTGTTTCTAATTAAAAAAAATGTTCTTAATGTTAATTTCAATGATCTCTCAAATTAACAGATAATGCATCTAAATCTACGTTCCATTTTTTGAAAGTTTCAAATTTAAAAAGGAGAAACATTCTAACATTATCTACAATCCAATACGTGAAATGGAAAAAATCAAACACAACAACAAAACCAAAACAACAATGATAATAATACCAAAAACGACGACAAGAACGACATTAAAAATAATGATAAAACATTTACATAGCGAAAACACACTTATTCCAACATGAATATTTTTAAGGCATAGCACGTATAAACTTATTAATAATTATAATATTAATAATAAAAAATTACATTTATTAACACTACTCTAACTACGGTTATATCTTATAGAATTCCTAATAGATGGTCATTTAAAATTACATATGCCTACTCAGCCCCACGTGCTTTTTTAAAAGATTGTAACAAATGGAAAAATGAAAAAGTAGCGACTAATTGTCGTTCACCAACGCTGTAAATCACATTCAAATAAAATTACATTACATTAACTTATTTACGACATTAATTTACCAAGTCACATTAGAATGTCATTACATTATGTTAATTACGTTAGTTATTTACAGTAAGGTAGAATGAATATGTGCTAAGTCACCCGTAAAAAAAGTGAGTTAGAGACGTTTGTTTGGTGTAATTATCGATGTTAAACTTAACTTACTTTAAATATCTTAACTCTTAAAATCGTTAATGCCTATTTCATATCAATGTGTAAATGCTTTACCTAAACGCTGAAAATTGAAATGGTGTGCAAAAAATATTGGCACGCAGTTGACAAATAAACGCCTGTATTTCCTTAGTATCATTAACTATTCACTGATAGTTAATGATAGATACAATCATCGGCTTCTAACTAAAAAACTCGAATGAATGACAAAAAAAAATTATAAAAACTCTGATAGCAACAACAACAGATTAATGACAAACAGCAAAAATATTCCAGTAGATGAACTAACTGGCCATTGTCTGCTCGTAAAATTTATCACTTCCTAGTATCCTATAGTCGCTATACACGTGCATGTATACATTCATATTCAATTGCCTAGATTATATTTAGTAGAGTGGCTAAATAGAAACTAGAAACATTTAATTATGCTATTATTATATCATATATATATTTATATATCATATATAACCATATATACATATATATATATATATATATATTTATATATCATATATAACCATATATACATATATATTTATCCATATTATCTATAAAAATTAAGTTACGTTTTAAATTATGGTGTACGATTAATACATAAGCACTTTATTATTATACATAATATTTCCATTTTTATAGTTTCAAGGAAGTGGAGTTTTTAAAATAATTAAAAAAATATGGAGGACCTGTCTTGCGTTGGATAATTGATCAGTTCTTAAATGAAAATAAAAAAATAATTTAACAGAAATATTAGATAAAATTGGAAAAAATAAATCAAATACTAATCCTTTACACAGTAGTGATAACACATGCACAACAGGCAGATACTGAGAATTAAAAACGAACAGAGGTGATAGCATGTTTTCAATGCTGTCAAAGTAACGAGCGCAACAAAGCGGCAATAGGCAGGAATAAAATTAGTTTGGCCAAGAGTTTCATTTAAAAATAAAAAATCATATAAGAATGAAATTGCGTCTGGCATGGGAATATATCGATGGAAAAGAGTGAAAGGCAGATGAAGACAACAGTTGTCTTGAGTGAAACGGTCAATAAATGAAGAACAAATGAAATAATAAATGCGCATGTCTATTGTTTACAAAGACTCATGGCCAGCTTTAGCAAAAAAGTATAGAAGCCAGAAAATGTCACAAAATCAGAAGTAGACGTGTAGTAGAAACATACGATGATTTAAAACAGAGATTGGTTGAACATGCCAGAAGGAGCTGAGCGGAACTTAAAATTTGAATAAGTTTACTACTAGGATGAATTAATGCATACTTCTAAATGTATCTTAGCGCTATAACATCAAACATATTGAATGGATCATTCAACCAGATATTTGATGAAAAAACTTTTAAATTTTTTTATACAAATGAAAATATAACATATATTAAAAAAAACTGATTTTGTTAGATACCTCTAAGAAACACACACACACACACACGCACGCATGCACACACACATTTGTACATGTGTTGAAATGTGAACAACGGTTTATGTACATTACGAGAAGTGATGTTAGTAACGTTAAATGTAATTAATAGCTCACAACAAAAGAATACAAAAAAAAGAAAAAAAAACTGAAAATAAAATTTATTAATAGCAAATGTTGTTGATACATATATGAAAAAAAGAAAAGTTTATCGGACTCGCTCGCGTGCACATCAAACCACCATTTCGTAAATGATACCAATAAAACTGAATCTTTAGAAGAAACAAACTAACATGCAGACAAATGTTGTTAACTTAGTTAATTTAAAATAATCAAAAGCTATAAATCAATGCAACGAAGAAGGAAAATCTAACAATTTTATTAAATTAGAATACAACATACAAAAACATATAAGCAATTCCTAGAACAATGCAGTGAAATTAGCACATCTTTTAACATATAACAAGGTATTATATGAAACAAAAACACAAAGAAAACCCGACGGAAAGTTCAGAACAGACAGCAAGCCCAACCTACAAACACAACGAACGTGAAAACATTCACAGATAAAAAAGATACATCCGAAAGCACACACATATAACAAGCAATGTATACCCTTAAAAGACAATGAGAAAAAAAATGGCAGATACAGACGGACTTACAACAGAAAATGTGTTGACAAATGAATAAAACATCAAAGAAATAGGTGAATGAAAATTTAATCCTGGTGACACATGAAGTATTTAATGGCGTCCCCAGAGAGATGTGACAGAGGTATGGCCTGAGTTTGTTTTGATGTTAATTCGCTATCCTTCACCCATTCATCTGGTATGCTGTTCAATTAAATGAGCATAGAATGATCAATTAACTAATAGTTTAATTGTTAATTAGATCATTTCCAATTTATAATTAACTGTTCATATAAATTCCCTTAAATGATAAATAAACAAGGGTAACAAAAACCATTAAAACATAAATTGTAGGCCACTGACATGTGACTCGGAGACCAGCAAATGAGGGACCACCTGACGTTGTTTGCATCTGTTCGATAGCCAATCACCTGGATAGAAAGTAAAGATAACTTAGATATAGTTTCAATTGAAATAGCAAATCCTATTCGCATACATAAAAATAGGATTAAAAATAGATTAGCAAGCATGGCATAAATCAATAACATCAGAGCACACAAATTTCAATTCAACACCACAAACCACATCAACAACTGAAACAATGAAAGCAACAATGAAGAGACAGACCTCAGAACGGAATGTGATGATTTGACCTGAGCTGGTTTGCTGTACCTGAGTTCGTTTTGAGAAGTTGACCAGATATTTCTGGATGCAGTTCATGGTTAGCGAATCGAAGAGGTCCCTCTGCACCGCAGATGGAGCTGTTGTGTCCAGAAAATAAATTAATTTTTAAGGAACATCTCATCAAATTATTAATATAATTTTATATTTATTGTTTATATTTAATTAATATAAATATACTTAATTCACAACAGAAAAATTAACCATCAGGAATGAAATTAAACTATACCTTGGCGAGTTTTAATTTTCCTAGACCTTCTTTTTCTTTGCGGCTTTGCCCCACTGTCATTGTTATCTCCAGCACTTGATGTACCATTTCTACTCCTACCCCCTTTGCCATTCCCATTTGAAAATGATTTTGTATTTTTACCTTGAGCAAGATTGGCAGCAAAATGTTTGTTGACGTGTCGATTCAGCATAACCTGAGATGCAAACTTCATGCCACAATTGTCCACAATGCACCTGTATGGCTTGTTACCTAGGTGACAGACCACGTGTTTCTCTAACCATGTGTAGAGGGTGGAGGGCTTATTGAAGACTTTGCACCCTTGCCACTCGCACGTGAACGTCACCTGTTCCTTCATAGTTTTCCTTTTTTGCTGACATTTGACGTGAGTTGAAGTTATGTGGTCAAGAAGTTCTACAAAAGGAACTTCCTGCCAGCAATTCGTCCACTGACATTTTATTAAATCTTTCGCTTTTTCGGCGGTTTTCGGTTTGTTGATAACATCGATAATATCTAAATTTTTATGTGAATCGATTTTCATGATTCTGTGAATGGCAACGAGAGGGAGCAGACCTACATATTGAGAAAATATGCAGGAGAGATAATCTTCTATAAAAATTCTTATTATGAAATGAAGCGAGCGGACCAAGCGCCCTATTTTTACAACTCTCTTTGTAATGTGTGTCCAGCTTCATACGTTTACAAGCAACAATCTATGCTTTTAATTTTTATGGAAAACTTGTAAAATTTTACAATTTAATATATTTTTTGGTATTTTTGTTCATGTTTAAAAATTTTTAATGTTATATATAGTATATATGTTTATAATATATATATATAATATATATATATATACATAATACATGAGCTGCAAAATTGGTAACTGGCAGGATGAAGTTTGATCACGTGACGCCCATCCTGGAGGAACTACACTGGTTGACAATAGATAAAAGAGTAACCTTCAAAATTGTGTACTTGTGTTTAAATCACTGAATGGGATGTCACCAGAACATCTCGTAAACAAATTTTCAAAAAAAATATCTGCGTCATCTCATCTACGGTCAGATGATATGAATTTGTTGACAATACCGGTTTCACACTTGCAATTATATGGTTAATCCTATTGGCTTAACACTTATTTGCTTTCATACTTTTAGCTTATGCGGCTATTAGATGTTACTGAACAAGAAGTCAGAATTGTTTTCTGTTCGGTTTAGTTAACACTTCGGACGGCGCCAAAATTTGTCTGCAAGTAATTCGGCTTTAACCTCATTCTAATTATTGTGTTGTTTTATTAAAAAAATCATACGCTATTTATTGCTTGAAAAAAGGGCAAAAGTATACTTTTCTGCCTACCCATGCAATTATAATTATGCAAGATAAGCATGGACATGAATTATAAAATAAATAAGCTTAAAAATGAACTTAAATTAATAATGAAAATGCATACTGAAAATTTTCGAACACTGCAATGGGTCAACGAATTGATGTAGTGAATTTTAAAAGTTGTGCTACATTACTTCATGATTGCTTATGCCTTATTTATATATTTCAGTTTCAGAGAATCAAATTATGCATACATATTACATACAATACATGTTATCAGTTATGGTTAATCATAACTGATAACGCCTAAGATTAAAAAATTATATTCAACGTTATAAAACCTCAGAATATTGAAGACAGCAGAAATAACCTCAACTTCTTGGACAACAAAAACGCTTGATCCCATCATAATGCAACTACTCTGCTAATTTCTAATTATAACAGCATGATAAACAATTCATTCAACTCTTCCAACACGACACTCGATTCTTCAGATGATGTAATTTTATTTGATTAATTCTCATTTTTTTTATTAATTTAGTAAATTTTCTACATTTAAAATTTTAAAACAATAGGTTGTGAGTACATGATTCATATAACAAAAATGTAGGAATAATAAATTTTTTGAATGCAGATAGAATCTGTGAACACTGAGACAGGTAGCACAGCAGATGACACGTCTCGTTGCACGGACAGCACAGCAAAACAAGGAAGCCTTCGAAGGAAGCGACCAAAGAAAGATAGGGAACCAAAATCTAAACTGCAATTCACATGCACCAATTATTTGATGGTTAGTTTTTCTTTCAAATAAATATTTTCTCATTGATCATATTAAATTAAATGTAATGTGGTTTTCATCAATAGTTTAGTTTTTAAATGGTTACAAATTATTAATTAGAACAATTTTCATGCATGGTTGACTCATCATGTGCATCACCTCACATGAATTGAATCAGGAAGGACATGGTCAGCCAATATTTGGAGTGCAGTTCAACGAGATCTACAGAGATGAGTGGCCACCGTTGTTTGCTTCTGTTGGGAGCAACCAGGTTGTTGCTACTAAATAATTATTTAATAATATTTTTATGGTGGTCTGGTGCACTTTTCAACTGTTTGTTCATAATTTTGTCCAGAAATTTTGTCTATAAGAAACTATTGCACATTTTGTCGGTGTTATTGGCGTTTATAATAATATTTATTTATTTATTTTATATATTTGAAATTTTGATTAAATAAGTTTTCTTGCTTTATCTTTTTTCTTTTGTTTCGCTGATTTAAAATTATTCACACCAACTAACCACCTAGATCTCAATCTATGAATGCAGTCGAACCAGTCCCGAAGTCACCCTTCTCTCCACACATGTTGATACGGACAGTGAGGAAAACTTTTTTACATGTGCCTGGAGCATTGACGATGAGCTGGGAGTGCCCATTTTGGCAGCAGCTGGTTCCAGAGGAATCATCCGAATCCTCAGTCCTTGCACCCACCGACCTGTCAAGAACTACATTGGCCATGGAATGTCAGTCAACGAGTTGAGGTTTTCAACGAAGGATTCAAACATACTGCTGTCTATAAGTAAAGGTTTGTTTACTGGGTCTTTAAATTTTATTAGTATACATTTTTATTGTTGCATTTGCTACAGAGGAAAATATTGCTTTATAATATTTTTATAGATTGCTTGATATTCACATGGCCAAGTCTTATTTTTCATATTTTTGTTTTATAATTTGTTTTCCACAGATCACACATTAAGGCTGTGGAACATCAAGACAGACCTCTGCATTGCCATATTCGGTGGAGTCGAAGGCCATCGAGATGAGCTGCTCAGTGGTGTTGGTAGTGCTTTCATTGATTAGTTAATTAATTAATTAGCTAATTAATGTTCATTGATAATGTATTTATAATAAGTTTTATTAGTAAGCTAAATGACATGAGCGTAGATGGTTAATAAATTTTCACTTTATTAAACTGTCAGATACATTTCTAATAATATTTTTATTAGAATTATTTTTATTAGATTATTATATTATCTAAAACGACGGCACCAGGATATAGATTTTGATGGTCAGCTGTTGATATCGTGTGGCATGGATCATTCATTCAAAATATGGAAACTTGATAATCCTTATATTGTAGATGCAATTGAGAAGTCTTATAAATATGATAAGAAGAATAAAAATGATAAGTTAGTAATCTCTGTGTGTGTGTGTGTGTGTGTGTGTGTGTGTGTGTGTGTGTGTGTGTGTGTGTGTGTGTGTGTGTGTTCAGATTTTTTCTTTCATTCAGTTCTTTTTCAATTTCATTTTCTCCACATTTTGTTATGACAGTGACATATTTTTTATGATAAATTGTTAAATGTTCATCATTATTAATATAAACATCTTTATTTTATTGTATCATTTTGTTATAAATCATCCTTAACATATCTTTTTCATGTTGTCCTGACATCATCGAATCACATTGTCGCAACTTTATCACTTATTTACATCTCACTCGCATCATCTTATTCCTGCCAAATAATCATTATTGCATCATCCAATGACATTATCTTGTTTGCTATTACATCACATTTCCATGACACTGCATCATGACATGATGTGACCACATTTTCGTGACATCATCACGTCTTTCTTTATGACATCATCTCATCACATGGCAGCGTCATTGTCGTAGCATCACATCACGTCATTCCTGCAGACCATTCAAAACTTACAGCCAGCACTTTCCAGACTTCTCGACTCGTGACATCCACAACAATTACGTCGACTGTGTCAGGTGGTGGGGAAAGTTTGTCCTCTCAAAGGTCTGTTATTATTTTTATTCTTATTTAAATTTTTTTTCTTTGCTGTCATCTTCCATCATTATTCTCATTGAGAATGTTGTTTAGAATATATTGAAACAGTTTCGCTACATTTTGATAGATATTAATGTTTTTATATTAATTTTGTTCTTTATGTTGATTTTAAATTAATACTAGCATCTTTTTTCTCCATTGTAATTTTTTTTATGCTTTTGTTGATTTTTGGCACAGTTTCAAGCATTATTGTTGCATAAACTTTTAAGCAATTAACTCAATTTACTTTCTTTGCTTGAGTATTTCGTGTTTTCATTACTTAATTAATGTTTCTAGTTTTTTGTTATTTCTGCTGCATTCATTTTCATGTTTATCTACATGCACGCACATCCCTAGTCATGTGATAACAAGATCGTGTGCTGGAAGCCCAACCGCCTGTCAACCTTTGACACGAGATTCATCAAAACGTCAGACGGTCACGTTACATCGGTTCTTCACAAGTTTGACTTCAGTGCCTGTGAAATCTGGTTCATGAGGTTTTCTCTGGATTATGATCAGAAGGTCAGTTTGTAGTGTTGGTTACTAATTGCTTGTCGGTAGCGTTTGCATTTCTTAGTGTTATTTAGTTTAAAGTAATGTAGGTTTTATAAGTATCTGTTGGTGTATATTAGAAGTATTGGTTAGTAAAATATGTGCGTCAGTTATTCGTTGGTCAGTATCGGTCAGTATTAGTTTAGTATTGGAGTGAGAAATTATGTGCTCACATTTGAAGCTTTTTATTTTTGAGTGAACTTGCTTGTATTCGTGTGTGTGTGTATGTGTGTGTGTGTGTGTGTGTGTGTGGTGTGTACGTTTTGGCAGTCTCTAACTTATTTATTATTTCATGGTACTGTTACTGTTTGTCTTTCAGATTTTAGCTGTCGGCAGTCAGACTGGTAAGATATTTGTATGGGATCTAGATGTTGAAGACATCAGCGATGCAAGGTCACATTCCTATTAGTCAGCATTCTATAATCGTTAATGCTCCTATTGATTCCGTTATTTCAGAAAGAGTCTAATAGACCTTTAACTTTTTTTATTTACATTGACATTTGTTAAGTTATGATAAACTTTTAGGTCATGTTTATTATCAGTGGTAATTATATATTATCGTTAATTATATTTTCTCTCGAATACAGGCAGCTGATCCTGACGCACCCGAAATGTAACACACCAGTTAGGCAGTTGGGGATCAGTAGGGATGGGACGATAATCATTGCTGTGTGTGACGATGGGACGTTGTGGAGATGGGATAGAACTCCGGCCTGAATGAACTGTTTTTTTAATAAATTGTTTCATTATTTAGTGTTGTGATTGTTTTGTTTATATGTGTAAATAATTTTATTTGAATCTTTCGTTATTTATTCGTATTAGTTTTTTTTATGTTCAAAAGTCGCAAATACAATAATTGGAATGCCGTTTCAAGCTGTCAAGTGTGTTCACATTTTTTGCTATTTTTCCCGATTCTCAGGTCCGCAACAAATTTGTGATGGTCGATTTTATAAAAAGGTCAAAACGGGTGTAAAATTGTGCTTACATGTCTGCTCATGTTCTTTCTTTTCCCCGAACTTATTTGACAGAATAAAACTACTTGACATGTTAGAAATTCTTTTGACTTTGGCACGTTTGGGCAAAGGTAAGTTCATGAGGTAAAGGCTGAAAACTGGATTCCCCACTGCACAATTTCTGATACAATCTTATTTGAGAGACGACCAAAATGTTAAGTTCATCCAACTGTCAACCAATGTTACGTTGTTCCAGTGTTATCTCGTCTGCATATATGCGTGCGTATCAGTTACGTAATAAGAACCGAAAAACAAAATATCTGTTTGGCTGGACGACATTTTTGCAGTTTTTGGTAGAATTAATTAAATATTCCTTCAGAAAATATTATGTCTATATACACAATTCTAAATTGAATTAAGCGATCAGCTGGCCTGTCTGCTACCCCATCACAAAATGATTGTTTTTTGAAGTTCTTTATAGAGTGAATCTTACGTATACCAGGCATTTTTATGTTGCGTGTTCATATTAAGCTATCGGTCTATTAGATGAGTCTGAGCCTTTTTAACCGAGCAGTGTTCTTTAGTCACGCTGTTCACAAATGTTCGTCCACTAACTTGATATGTGAAACGATGCTCTGATGAAATATCAAATTGTTTAAAACAGATTCGCTCTAAGTTACCATTGCACAGATTGGAGTGGTAATATAATGCAGTATTTAAATCGTAACAAATGATCGACGTGGTAACGCAGACCTTAGTAGCCTTGATCTCGTCTCTCACAAATGGTCCTATCTTTGGATCCGACGGAAACTAACAACCGAGAAAAGAAAGTAAAGTTTGACGTCAACAGAAATTGCTTTCGAAATTTCATAACGCTAGGTTGAAACCATTGGTGAATCATTTTGTTAACCTGATAAAATTACTTTTTTGCATAGCGTTTTATAGTTCAATCGGTTACAGTATTTAGTTTTTAATTCTTGACTAAATAATATCATTGACCGGTCCACACTGACCACAATAGTGATTGGTGAACGTGGTAGTAGTAATGTAATGCACATGCGAGCAATAAAATGAATTTACGGAAATAAATAAACAACATGACTATTATTAGTACAAGCGTGGCGATCTGTGTTGTTTGTTATTGATGTTTCACTGCGGTTTCCGGTTTTCCGAAATAGCACATGGAATGTTCGATCAATTAGCATTCACCTCAGGTCGGACTGTCGGTTATTATATTCACATCACTATCCGATATACCGGAAATTAATGTTTGACCGACTCACCTCTGTAAACAATGCATATATATTTGTATTATCGTTGTTGCTGATAATGTGGCACGTTTATTCTATTGTTGATGCTGTGGTGTGTTGTTTCTGATGTTGTTGGTTTGTATAGTTGATGTTGTTTTTGTCGTTACGATGCTACAGTTTGAAATATTTTTGGTGCGGTTTCTATGGCTGTTCATGTTTAATTTGTGTGTCATGTCATGTATTCAAGCAAGAAATTAATGCCGTGCATTGCATATGCAATACCGTTTGCATATTTCTCTCTCTCTCTCTCTCTTTCTTTGTATGTGTGTGTGTTTGCCTATATGTTCATGATTTTATGTTCATGTATTTCAATAATAAAATTCGCGACACAAGTATGCTAGCATTATCTCATTCACAGTGTGTATGCGAATGTGTGTTTGTTTATTTGTCAACTCGTTATTTGGGCGTATTTGTATTTATTTTGTATGTGATCGTATAAGTTCACTTTCCGAAATTCGTATGTATACACATGTTTGTTTATTTATTACGTTTTTTATGCTTTTGTGTATTTGTATTTACGTTTTGTATTGTGTTGACCAATTTGTTTGATCGCATGAGTAGCCACTCAGAGAACTGACCAGCCAGCCAGCAAGCACGGGACGATAATTCTGTTAAATAAATTCTATTTAACCGTCTTGAGTGCCTCCCTCCAACAACAGTTCTTAACAACATTTTTTGCTCACAGAATGCTTGCCTTCATGTATGTTTGTATGTTTGTGTTTTTAAGGTTTGTATGTTTGTATATTTGTGTTTTTTAGGTTTGTATGTTTGTGTTTTTTTAGGTTTGTATGTTTGTGTATTTGTACGCCTGAGAAATCTGATCAGGGCAGAATTACCAGCAACAGGTATTTTTTAGATAGTTTGATGATTAGTTGTACAAAAACATTTAATTGAAGTAATCAAAATCTGCATAAATTTTTTACTCGTTTTTTTATTATACACAACTTTTTAATTTACTAACAAAATTTTTTCAATCAATCAATCAATCAATTAGCTTATAAAGCGCTATTTCCGCGATGTTCAACAGCGCTCCTCAATAAATTTTGCAAACAGATGGGTCTTGAGATCCTTTCTAAACTTTGCAAGTGATGGAGAAGTAGTCAGAGAAGTAGGTAGAGAGTTCCAGAGAAAAGGACCAGAAAAAGCAAAAGCAGATTTGGCAAAAGAGTGTTTAACACGAGTTAAGAAAAAGCGAGAAGAAGAAGACGATCGTAAACCGGGGCGTTTAGGTTCAATTAATATATCTGATAAATACTTAGGAAATAATTTAGATTGAGACTTATACATGAACGTGCAAATTTTAAAAATTATTCTATATTTTATAGGTAGCCAGTGCAAGAGAACAAGATATGGAGATATATGAGAAAAGAAAGGGGCACGAGCAACTAGATGAGCAGCAGAGTTAAAAGCTTTACTTAAAGGATAGAGTATAGAGTCAGGAAGACCATAGTAGAGCGAGTTACAATAATCAATTCTAGATAATACTAACAAAGTAACAAGAAAGAGAAGAGTAGGATCTTCAAGAAAAGGCAAAAATTTTTTTATTCTACGTAGATGAAAGTAAGAGCTTCTAGCAACACTATTAATCTGAGAAGAGAGAGACATAGTAGAATCAAAGATAAAACCTAGACTACGAAACTTATGAGAGATATCAAGAGTTTTAGAATCAGGTAAGATAATAGGAGGAATAGTAATAGAGTGTTTAGATTTATTAAAACAAATTAATTCAAACTTAGAAGGATTAAGTTTAAGACACATAGAGTCAGACCAAGCGATAATTGAAGAAAGACAGAGATAAATTATGAAGTACACTATTGAGATTAGTATTTTTGTCGTATCAATAATAATTTTTAAAGGTTTTTTTTACTATGTCTACATCTTTTAATTTTATTTTTTAATTCAAAATTTATTCATTCACTTTACAGAGCTGCGTGTCAAGATTGTGGTCCTAATTGAAAAAAATTTTGATCCCTCTCTCTCTTTTTTTCTCTCTCCTTTCTTTCTTTCTCTCTTTGTGTATCTCTCTCTTTCTCTGTCTGTCTATCTGTCTCTATGTCTCTCTCACTCTCTCTCTCTCTCTCTCTCTCTCTCTCTCTCTCTCTCTCTCTCTCTCTCTGAGTATCTCTCTCTTTCTCTTTTATTGTGTATCTCTCTCTTTCTCTCTCTCTTTCTCTCTCTCTTTCTCTCTCTCTAATTCATCATTTTGTTTATAATCCGAAATTGTGTAATATAATTTAACAATCAGCGGCAGAAATCTCCGCCTATCGTACGCGATGTTTGTCATGCGTTTTTTCAGCGCGTTCCAGTCGTTGTATAGGTAGGTGTTAAGAAGTTGATGAATGAATTTGCATCACAGTCCACTAACAATCAGGTTTTCTTATGATTTTTAAGAAATTGTTTATGACATATTTTTAAATATATATAACATAACATATTATTTGATAATTAATACATAAAATACATTCAAAACGTACATACACAGCATATACAAAATTTTATTAAGTTAAAATTGAGAGAGCGTATTTTCAGCGTGCACCATTGAAAACGCTCCATTATGGTTATCTCACCTGGATGAATATATGTGGGTGGTGTACGCGCGTGTGTGAGAGTGTGTGTGCGTATGTGTGTATGTATGTAAGTGCGTGTATGTGTCATGGATGTCTCGATATACATACTTCTCTCATAGAAGTTACGAGACATCCATGTCTCGATACTTCTATGAGAGAAGTATATATATCGAGACATCCATGATCTATGTATCTATGAATATGTATATGAATTACATGCCTTAATAATACTAATACTTGCGAGTGTTCATAACGTAATAATTGATTTGTTATTAAAATCTCTCTTGTGTGTTTTTTTAGTCTGTGTGTGTTTGTTTGTGTGTGCGCTTTTTACCAGAATGGGTATGTTTGTGAGAGCACGTGCGTGTGTTTGTGTATCTGTGTGTGTTTGTGAGTATGCATTTTTTGAGTGCGTTTGTGTGTATGCATGTGTGTATGCATGTGTGTGTGTGTTAGTACGTGTGTATGCATGTGTGTGTGAGTGTGTGCTTGCGTGCGTGTTTGTGAATATGCGTGAGTGTGCGTGAATTTTTATTTTTTATTTAATAGTGATCGTTTAAATTTTATTTTCATTCCCACTCCTGTTCATCACCCTCTTCTTTATTATCATTTTCATCATCATCATCGTCGTCATCATCATCGTCATCGTTGTCATCATCATCATCGTCGTTGTCATCATTATTAAAGCATAGATAGATAGAGATATAGATCTTAATGCATAACCAGCAGTAAGATACCATTATGTATATAATGATAACGACGAAGACTATGACGTAGATGAAAATGATGATGATGAGGAGGAGGAGGAGGAGGAGGAAGAGAAAAAGAGGAAGATGAAGACAACAACGGAGTAACTGATGTTGACGACATGACAACAATGTTTTTGCTATTGTCATCAGCAACGACGATGATGAAAATGATGACGAAGATAGTGATTAAAATGAGAGGGTAGTTATAAGGATCAAGATGATCAAGATTACAGTTTATTAAACTGACGAAAAGAGTGACGACGATGATGACGACGACGATGATTGCTGCG